TGATTTAAATAAAAGTAGAGTCCAGACACTCAAATCAGTACACGATCTAGGTATTAATTACACAAGAAGTCTGAACTTTGAAGAACATGCATCATCTATTATTTCTAAATGTAGACGGCAAATCGGTTTCATAATGAGAAATTTCTTCACAACAGAGGCTAAGCTTACTCTCTATAAAATATGTGTACGACCTTCCCTGGAGTACTGCTCTTTTATCTTCTCTAACATGAATACCACCGACAAGATAAGAGTAGAAGACGTTCAAAAACGCTTCACACGCCAACTGCTAGGAAGTAACTCTAATGTCGACTACACAGATAGATGTAAGCACCTCTCTTTAGAACCTTTATGGCACCGTAGGGTAAAGAATAATTTAATATTTCTCTACAAAGCGATATATGGACTCTCATTTCTAACCTCCTGCCCAACTATGATTCACGACCCAGCCTATAGACTAAGAAACAACGCATATACACTACACACCGTAAAACACCAAAAACAAGTGCGTTGTAAGTTTTTTACAGTGCGATATAGTTTATTGTGGAACAGGTTGCCATTGCCTATCCGTAACTGTGACACATTTACCAGATTCAAAAGGCTAATAACCCTGTTTCTAGACTCTAAAGAGCTTCAATCTTTCCTTGAACTCCCGCCCACCAATGAAGCACTTTATTATGGACCGCCTAATTTCTAGACTGAACAAGAATATAACGAGCCCAACTATTATTAATATGAATACAACTAAATTATAGGACATACGGTTTGCCGTTTCCTATTATTCATTGTGCATTAATCCAGGCCTAATGCTCCTAACCCTCACTTTCAGTTCTCAAATCGCTCTACTGGTTAAATAAACATTTTTCTTCCTAAGTGTCATGTCTTTTTTTTCTATTGCAAGTAGACAGATAACTCAGTAATCTTATGGATGCTGATCTGCTAAGGCCGATCATACGAAGCTCAAAATTGATCAGAAAATCTTGTGAGTTGCTCTGTGTTTTATTTTTCTTACCCTAAAAATTCTACAATTTTATACTCTTTCATATCATTTAATTTGCTACTAGTCCTACTATCTTTAAACCACATATAATCTAACCTGGTTTTTTTTTCTATCTTTCACCATTAGTTATCTTCATAGCAGTGTGATATACTAAATGGACATCTAACCCATAATACGAACGCTTTAACTACATGATTTGCTTGTAATATGGAACTAGTAGAGACAGTGTATTCCAACCATGTGCTTTGATTAAAGCAGTATGCATACTTACCGCAAACGTAAGAGAGCCTAACATCACAAAAGGAGGGAGGGTGGCGTTACTGACCAGCAAACATGATGGCGGGGAGATAACCTCAATCCACCCATGTCTGTAGGGCAGAACATTTTGTTAAATTACGGCTCCTTATGGTCTATTGGAATGTCACGAACTAGTGGTATTGATGATGACTTATCATGCAAAATACCTCTTTAAATCGTGTTTAGAATGTTAAATTGGTTTAACTTCCTACCCAGTAATCCTATTACAAGCAAACTAGACAATTCGATAAAAAAACGAAGCCTACTCAAGACCCTATAAAATCTAAAAAAGGCTCCAATAGCGTCGACAAAAAAAAGGGAGACAGCCATTTGTGTATCGTAACACTGCTTTTAGCACTATATTTTATAACTACATATTCTCATACTCTCAGTTTCTTTCTGAACCACCTCCATTTGTCAGTTGATTATTCACTCATACCTTGTCTACAGTTATTTCCTTTAACCTATTAGGATGTTCCTGCTTACTAAAATACTTTAATGAAAGAGAATCAGACTGAGTAGTCATACCTCAACCACTACTTCATGAACATTGTCTTCTCTGCTTCTCGTCCTTTTTTTTATTTTCTTGAACCGTTTTTCAGCCCCCTTGAGATACGGAACGAGTGATCCCGTCCTGCACCATCTTTAAAGACTCAAATATTCCAAAGGGATATAAGATTGCGATTTCTAGAAGCCCTCAAATGCACATGAATCTAGTATCGACCGTCAGTTGCACGTCGCAACGCAACTCTCATGAAGCGCGCCAACTGTGATACTGACTAAAACCATTCTACATTCATATCTTATAAATTATAGACCAAGCTGATTAATTTACTACAGTTGGAAATTGTATCATTTGTAACAATTTGATCTTGCCTGTAAACTGGCATGACTCATGTAACAAAATGTTATTTGAGAATAAATTATTATTATTATTATTATTATTATTATTATTACTGATCTCCGAAATTCCTACGAGGCACTCTATAGGAGTGACCGTCTCATTCTTCAGAATAGAACTTTATGGGTATAATTTAGCATTTCATGATGTGGCACACTGATGAGGTAGACAGGAAATTACTAGCTGTCACAGTTTGTACTATGCAATCAGACTGGTTTTCGATGACATATCGTGTGCAGTAAGGGTCAAGCCTTGGGTTGCTCCAGTTCATTTCGTCCATTAATGACCTTTCAAATACTCTAGACCTCAAAAGTCGGCAGTAGGCAGATGTTAAGGAGGAAAAGATGCTCGTCCGAAATGAAATATTTTCGTCCTAAGAAGACATACCTACCATACACGACATGACCACCAAACACCTCGTTCCTCCAACTCCAATAGATCCAGAATACCAATAGCTAATATCATTGATAGTCTACAGATTTTATACTTTCTGAGAGATTGCCGTAACTTGACTACTAAAAAAGGACCTGAATATCGTTCTTTGTGATACTCTAGGTGTCACCTTTCAAGGGAATTTTGAAGTTAACAATGTGTGCTCACTCTCAGAGTTTTTTGCCAGGACACTAGGTAGCCTGGATTGTTTAAAACGGTTTTCACTGTTTATCTACAAATACTTTTGAGAGGAAACAGACCGTTTCTTACATTTACCTTAAGTGGGATATTGCGTTCTTGGAAAGGATTCAAAGAAGTGTGTCTAACGGTACTCATGTTAAAAAAACCCTACTCAAACCATCTGAAAGCTGCCGACGCAGCCACTACTATACAGGTGGATTGGCGTGATATAATCCGAGTGTATCACATTGTACTTATTCATCGTACGTTAATATGTTACTGATAAGTTCTAGTAATAAACTCCTCATGAGATGGAATGCACTAATGTACAGGCATCTGTAGCAGTGAATCAATCTTTAATATATTCATATGAACGTGTATATATTTTTATTTTTCCCAAATAGAGATCTGAAAAAATTCATTATGCGAAAATAGCATGTGAACAAAACATATGTACTCCAGGTTATTTTCCTTTATTCGCCCGTTTTACATACTTATAAATGTAAGCGTTAATTTGGCCACTAAGGGAGTGATAACGGAGATTACTCTGCTTTTATTTAAATAAATTGCTTTGCTCTACAGTTTCTAGGAGGAATATAATAAGAATCGTACTTTCCCATTACCAGGGATGCTCCCTTATTACCCATTTATAGATCTCGAGGTGCAGACCATTTAATGGTTGCTCTTGTATGTAAATGACCTTCCTCGCCTATTATCATCATCGGTCTTGCTATATGCTGACTATGTCAACATATGGAAAGCGATACGAAGTGAAGTTAGTAGCTTAGAACTCCAAAATGACCGTGAGAAATTATCAGAATGGTCTCATACCTGGCAGTTGCCAATAAATACTTCTAAGTGTATTGTGATGCATATCGGTCATCAAGGTACAGATACAAACAGGATGAATAACACTGAGCTATCTGTTGTCCAGACACATAGTGACTTAGGAGACATCGTTAGCCAAGATTTAAAGACTACTGCACACTGCCGTGCAATAGCCACCAAATGTTTTGGAACTTTATGGTTAATACGTAGGGCTTTTGCTTGTAGCGTGGTGTCGAGTTGAGCTTGACTATGAACACCGCTACAAGACTACGTGCCAATAGACCAATAAGATTCCGGTAGGCCAAAATTCAGAAGGCAGATGATGGCTGTAGTCGAGATGTATTTGTTGGCGATCTCGTGTTATCGAACGAATACCGAGATCGTGCCAAAGGAGTACAAGCGTGGTTACTGAGCGTAACCGGATTCGTACAAGTTCAAAGTCAACCGGCTAGTAGGTATGATGGCTGTCATTAGCACAGTTAAACAAACGAGCACAGTAAAACAGTCACTGGTACAATTGGTTATAATAATAATTGTTTTCATCGAACCAATCGCGTTCTGTTGACAAAAGTAGGTCACTACATGCTCATGTCGACGCTAGAACGTTTTTGACTTTGTATACAGTGTTCGTACGTCCTAAACTTGAGTGCTGCATACAAGCTGCTAGCCCCTGCTTGAAAAAGCACAGTGAACCTTTGGAAAAGGTCCAGAGAACAGCAACTAAGCTGATTCCTGGAATAGCGAAGCTTCCGTATGATGCTCAACTGGCCAAGTTAAACCTGTTCCTATTGTCATATCGAAGAACTAGAGGCGACTTGATTGCAGTTTTAAAATTGCTTAGTGGTAAATTTGCACCTGATATGCCTTCATTTTTCTTGTCTTCCAAAACGGAGAATTTACGAGGACACTCCAAAACAGTTCACAAGCCCAGAACAAATTACTTGTCAGTTGATTATCGAATTTTCCATCGAATCATCAACGAGTAAAATTCATTACCTCAGCACGTGGTTGAAGTTCCATCCATCGATTCTTTCAAAAGAAAGTTGGATCAACTGAGAGAACACCATTGCCAGGACTAACACAGGCCATCAAGCCTCCTGTCCTTTCCAAACTGAAACTGAAACTGAAAACGAGAGCTGAATTCGGACACATGAAGCCCCATAACCTAGCATATGGTTAAAGCTCCATTTTTCGACGCGTTCGAAAAAATTAAATACTTTGAGGACCATCGCAAACATATAGTGTCCTGTCCCTTCAGAACTGAAATTACGAAGTTCCATTAGATCATCTGGCCACTGCTTAGGACTTCGAATTGAGCCTTTAGGTAGCGCAAATTATAAATATAGTGGTTACGGCGGATCCTAAATGGTTAGCGGAATTCTAAATAATTGTTTCTTAATCATAATATTTTCAGCAATTTTCAGAGGCTCTACTGTCTTCAGATGATGCAAGTTTTGAGCGTCTGTTGTTCGATGAAGTTAGAACACAGGCTCTTGAAGTATGTACTCCTCAAGTTTTCAAACCTTCTGAGAATATATCAACCGAGCCATTTGGTGAGAGTGACTTCGAGTCAAGCAAATCAGAATACGCTGCCTTAGAACGGACATTGTTCCGCAGTTTTGAATTATTCATTGCTGGGAGGGAATTCATCAAAAATCAGGATGCAAATGAATGTGCCTATCAACTTGAAGCTTACTTGCAATCCGTAGCTCCGAGTGAACAGGGTATATGTGGTCGAATATTTCAAGCCAATGAACCAACCTATTGTTGCAGGTAGTAAAGCGAAGTGTTTTACAACCTTGTCTGTGTGAACTGATAGGGTGGATAGTGCGATTCTGAGGTCCCGGACGACGGTAATAAGTTCTCACTGGCATATATACCGTCGTTAGTATACTAGTCAGGGTTTAACATTGATAAGCAATCGGAACGATCGTGGCTGATATTTGGGATTGTTTCCACACAAAGATGTCTTGATACTATTCTGTTTATTATGGCTGACATCATTGTTCGCTTCTCTCGTTGTTTCGTCTTCAGTAGGAAGAATAAAAATGTAGGTTGTGTACATAATGTCTTACAACTTGCACTACTGTAGGGTCCCATCTTATCTGAAAAGCAGCAAGCTAAGGTAATAGCAAGATAGCCATTTCCTAACACAACTGATCTCATACAGTATTCTAACAATCGTAGTAGTTAGGTTAAGTAACAAGCACATGTACCCACATTGTTGTCAGGTTTTAAAGGCCAAGCCAATGATAGCTTCTTTCTAGCCTCTGGGTTCCCGGCTGACTTAATTACATATCAAAAAATATCGCCAGTGGTTTAGCAGTTATCTAGTAGTGCTAATATAGTCCCAGGACGAAGTTCACGTGGATCAATTTCGAATATTGTAGTAGTCGTAAGGTGAAAATTCCACAGTACTAGGTTTGTTTTGAGCTCATTTTCACAATTGTCGACTAACCGTTCATTGTTATTGGCTGAAAATGTAGCACGTCAGATATCGAATATTTAAAGTGGTTCTTTCTGAATGTAAAGCAGTGGTATATTTTAGTCACTTAGTTATGATCAACGTAGAACCTGGCAGAAATGTAGAGTAACCTAGGTTGCCATACTTTACCAGCACAAAATAAAATTAACATAATAAATAGCAAAGGAGTGGGAATAATCGTATTACCAATGATAGTATGATTGACGGGACATTAAGAATAAGGTTTAGGATGAGGGAATACTGGAATTCGAAATTTAAAGTGAATAAATCTGTACCACTGTGACCATTTCTAACATATATAGCCCAACTTCTGTAGCCACTGACGGTGGTTACCACATGGATTCCAGCCATGTAGTTTAGACCTACCAACGTGACTCAGATAAATAAGCAGTTGCTTCTCGTACTTGTACCCTGTGTTGGTTTAAGAGCTCCTAGTTTTCTCCTAATCTATTCCTACTCCAGACAGCATTGCACTCAGAGTTTGGTAGCGGTTCACGCAATTATTCGATCCTGAGGTTATTGTAAGGAAGTCTGTCAGGGCGATTTTATTGGTTTATGACCGACTTGCTACTTAATATAGTGTAATACTAACGTTTAACGCGAATTTATAGCCTCGAAATTCGATACTGAAGTTACTTAAACTAGTAAATGTTAACAAATTCCAAAGAATTTTCATACTTCAACGAACTTCATGTACTTGATTTTGAAGAACGTGCTGTGGTTATTAATATTGTTTGTTGTCTGTTATTTGATTCCTAACCACTGCTGTTCCAATTTATTTTTATGTGATCTGTATTTTGATGATTTGTGTTGACATGTTAACTGCTACTAGTTGAAGCAAGTTTTTTCCTGTACACTGCTGTGATCTGTTGATAGGTTTATTTACCCGCGTTATTACGTAAGTGGTTTAACCAAATCTTCCCATCAGGTCAAAACGTTTTTATTTGACTGTCATTATTTGCTGTCAAATAATTAAACAGTACTGCCTGGTGATGATGGATTTCTATAGAATTTGTGAAACTAGTTCAATTGAACCCGTGGTTTATTTCTCATAGCTTGACTTGGTGTTCGCCTGTAGAGACCTCTAGCAGTTAGATGAAGTTCACAGCTATTCGAATTATTAGTAACGTCATTCTGGATAGTTACTGTTTCCTAGTGAATTTTGTGCATTTTATGGGCTTGGAATATCGATCTGATGGTAGGATTTGATGGTTAAGAATGTCAAGCAATTTTTAAGTTTCACTCATTAACTTTTTTTTGGTTTATAGTCTCAACTAGGACTCAGAGTTATGTGCTTCTTCATGATAATTTCAAGGTTTATCCATTGTTCCGTTCAAATGACATTTTTATTACCCATCGTATTTTTGTGTGTTACAGCACTCACTTTCATATAACATCGGGCTGTGGCCCCCTAAGAAAACCACCTGCTTCGGTTTGGGCACCCGGGCAGTATCTCAGCCTACACACAAAAGTGTGGCGCATATATATTTGGTGCCTTCTTGTACCAATATTTATGTGCTTAAATAAATAAATAAATAAATTCATATAACATCAATTCTGTCTAGAAACTGTTTGTTCATTTTTGTTCAAATTCTAGGGATTGCGCAATTGACTCAACGTGTGTATTGTGTAGGGGATGTTTCTTCAACAGTGCTCACATTAAACACAATTATAAAGTAGGTTATTGATAGTATCTCTTTTTGGTATTTTTTATTATTCCAAGCGTTTCATTATTATGGTATTTTCATAACAGAGGTGAATATAAATGATTTATATATTAAACTCTGAACTACACTATTTGTATAAGGATTAACGGTATCCCTCGAGTGCTCTAACTGAAGTAGCTGGCTCGTAATATTCGAACTCGACTAGTTGGTGTTACATTTTTATATTGGAGCTCAAACAGCTGCACTAGGTAATGCAATTTCCAAATTTTGAACAAGCATAAATGTCCTCAATGTCGTAGACACATTTTTGCTCATGGATCTTATCAATTATAAAAGTTTTTTGACTTTCGGACATTGAATAAAATACACAGTTCGTTGATTACAAACTTGTGCCCGAAAGTCTCTGACATTTGATATTTTAACTGACAGTATGTACTAATGTTCTTTTAGAGATTAAGCTCATCAGTTCCACTTAATCTTCCTAATTGCTCTTTGTTATGTGTATGAAGCCAAATATTTTCTGGTCAAATGTTGATCTTTTAAAAAATCGTATGGCTTATTACGGATTCTATCGTGACATTAAATTTGCCTTTATACCTTAATTTCACAATTATCGCAGTCAGACGCAAAAAGGGGATGTACGTTTAACTGAGTCATAGATAATGGGTGTTAGCCTTTCATTTTTTCCGAGGATAGATTAAAAGTAAAATACTCTAAGAATTACAGTGTTCCTGTTTAAGCTTTATAGTGTTTAGTATTTCAATAATTTGAAACCTTTCTATACTAACTGATGAGTACGGATAGTTACCATTTGTGACCATTCAATTTAAACATGTATAATACAGGTAGTTTAATCTCAGTATTTGGACAATTAAAAAATAGGTTCCCAAACACTTGAACAGGCTAACATATTTTCCTTTCACCTTGTTTATGTTATGACTTGTGTGAGTTTTTCCAGTTTGCCATATTAGATTGGCAAGACAAAATGAAGTGGCAACAAAGATCCAAATAATATGGTGGCATTGATAAAAAGAAGGACCATACCGCGGGAATGTATTTATGAAGGGATATTGGAATTCAAGGTATAGAGGGATATGAGAAGTGAATAGATCTCCACCGTTGGGTACTATTCTGACTCACGTCACCCAAAAATGAAGTGCGCCATACAAATTATAGATGATAGTGGTAAGAAAAAGATGTGTATTTGAAGAGAAAGACGACATAAATAAATAAAATGTTTGATAAGAATAATATTTTATGGGTGAGATAGTTCAGCTAACAATGCGGAGAAGGCAATACAGAATTGTTTCAGTTAATGAAATTCCTCTCACAGTTGTGAAAAATGCAAAAGAATATTACGGCAGGGTCTCCATTGGTTTCTGTTCTGAGAATGTTATCGATGGCACAGTCCTATCTGACAAATCGAAGGCGACCCTATTATCAAGAAACACAACGATTATTGGTCTACCTTGAGCATGGTGGTGTTCTAAAATTTGGCGGAGGGTGAAGATATAATCAATACACGAGAAGTTCGCCATTATGCTTAAAAAAACCCAGCAGTAAGACACCTAGTCTTGGTGACTTGTACTGTTTCAAGAATTTGATTTCATTGTGGACCTCCGCCTCATTTGGGGGACCGGTCGTCATGGTCCATCGACTGCAGGGTAGAATGTGCAATATCGGTAGAAAAACAGGCCAGCTAAAATGCTACTCGGAGAACTACCCATCATCCATTATGTCTTTGAATGTCACTTATTGGCACTTCACCAACTTCGCAGATTGTTTCACTAATTCTAGGCTTCTTGCTGTCAGTGGCTTGGATGAGGTGAAATAGCTTCTGCCAGCTGGTAAAAGCAGCTTCTAGCTCGAAAGCACTCTCCGACCACTAGGTTTCATGTTCCTTACTCAGACTTTCGATTCACCGGATTAGCCTGGGGTTTTAAGAAGTCTGTAAAAACCCATTACTTTAAAGTAGGAGGTTTCACTAAGCCACAAAAGACGCGACCCTTCATTTTCATGGCGTCACGTGAATGCATTCAATGTTCATTTGCTCATTCCCGGCCCAAGTATAGGATCATAATCAATGCTTATCCTTGTTTAGGAATCTAATATTATGATCACGAGGTTAGTGGTGTTTTATCCTTGTTATCTACTGCTAATATGTTATAATTCTGAGTAACAACCGTTGAGTTACCGTGACTGATAGCGTAATCAAGTTAGACTACTAAACTGAATGTATAGCAATTTTCATTTTCTTGGCTACTTATTATTATATTAAATTTTTAGATAAGCACATCCATTGGTGTTGGCTATTGTGATTGTGGAGATCCTGAAGCTTGGCGTTCAGATGCTTGGTGTAAACTTCACAAAAACACATCAAAAGGCGAAGGAGCTGAAGAGAACAACTTATCCAAACTTACTGATACTGAAAATACAGATGTAAAGTTACGAGCTGAACTTGAAAATCTTCGTCGACGAATTAATGGTCTTCCAAGTGATATTGTTATGCGTACAGGGAAATTATTAAAACCTTTAATAAAGAGTGCAATTCTTTGTCTTACTGATTTAATTCAAGTAAGGTTACGTAATATTTAATAATTACCAAATACATAGTTACTTTTTATGACGTCATTTTCAAGTGACACATTTTCTAAAACTTTTATTTCTTATCCTAAAGGAAAACAATGATCTACATATTTGTTCTGGCTTATAGTTTTTGCTGGGACAATCGTTCCTCAAGGTCCTACCATTCCAGACAGGTCGGTTGAAGAGCGGTAAGACTAAAAGCAGCAAACCCAAGGTTTGAGGGTGAAGTGGTACTGCTGACTGTACAGAGGTGTGACAACAGTAAGGTGTTTCCTTCAGACAACCAGCATGACAGCGATGCTGCCTTCGCACAAGGAGGGGTTGGGTTAGAAAAGGTCGACCCTAAAAATGCACACCTCGCTTTATCCCACGGATATCCGTCTCCGGCGGTAAGGTGTCAACAAGTACGGAGCTAACACAAAAATTACTCATGAAAAGGTCGTGTGTGACCGACCACAAGCAGGTGTACCTTGGGCACTGTGGTCACGCTCTCAGGTCACTATGACCACCTCTAATCGAATTTCATTTTCAGGTACCTCCAGAAGGACCTTTCCACGGTGTGGGCAACCGGGAATTAATAACCGCCCTCATACTTCTAACAGCACTCAAGACCACTGTATTCATAATCGACCTCCCTCTTTAATTACTGTTCCCTCAGTCAGTCAACCATAGTTAACATAGTGTCTGGTATCAGTGAATTCTAACATACCTTACATCATCACAGTGTAAGTAATATCAAATTCACTGTAAGCGTGAAATAAGAATAACGATTGAAACAGAACTATTGAGATTAAAGAATTTAATAAGAAAATTTCGAGGAAAATTAAAGATTTTATACAACTGCGCTACTGCAGCCAGTTTTTAAGAAATATTACCCAGCCTCTTTGATCGTGTATTTTGGCTATTAATCAGGTCCAACCATGAGGTCTGTACTCAAGGTTGTTTGTGGTCATACAAGATCGTCGATTGTTTAAAGAAACCTTAAAGTCAATTGTCAAAGATGTTAGAATTATAACAAGCTATCCATTGGATCTTTCATACAGTAATCAAGTGAGTCAAATTAGTTTAAACGAGCAGCTTTTAATCAGTAAGTTACGAGTTCACACATTGTATCTTCTTTGGTTTGGGTTTCAGGTGAGGTACAACACTTGTAGTGTAAATTATGTTCTAATTGTTCTCATACTAGCAATTCATATAAAAATGGTTTGATGTGACTTTGTTATTTGTTATTTATAATTCACTTTTGCATATTGTATATTAATTTTGCAATAATTCACATCATAGTTATCTCGGTGGATTTCTCAATATCCTTTTCAGGGCACACCTCGTCTATCAACTGAACCCTTGAGTAGTCGACTGCATCAGGAAAAATGTCCATTGAGTGAAAACGGTAATGAAAAACAGACAACTATTGATTTATGGTCGACAGATGACGGTGTGGTTGATTATAAGATGGATAATGAGAACTCATGGGATGATTGGCCACCTCCTTTATCGCATATCCCACTTGTCTCACCTAGTGAAGATGCTGCAAAGCTAGGACAGGACGCCTGGCCAAGAACTGCTCCCAAACGTCGTTCTGCAGTAGATGTAGAGGCCAGATGCTTAGCTCAGTTAGAACGAGCTAGAAAGTATCATCCTAGATTATTTCCTCCACGACCTATGCGTACAGCTTCTGAGCGAACCGCAGCTTCTCGATCATTTTTAGTTTTACTTTACAACAATGAATATCACAATTATGAGCAGGTAATTTTTAAAGTATTTTTTCTTTCTAAACAAAAAGACTTCATTTAGCAACGTTAACTTTTCATTACACAGCTTAATACTTACTGTTGGTTTTTTTTGCATCAAACAAATTCTAGGTTATCAAAACGTTAAGACGTGTGTTGGATTGTACAACTCAACAGGGTACACATTATGCGGTACTTGTTAATTGTGATGGTCGTGCAGTTCTTCAAACAAACCTCACCGCTTCACAAGCATCTAATTTAGCGTCAATTCTGATGGTAAGTAATTGGAATGGGGCTATTCTTAACTTCATTCATTTACTGATGATATTTATTATACATAATATGTTTTATGCTGATTGTTTGTATCTCTTCCCAATTGCGAATTAATTAATCTCGTTTTCTTTGTGAATCTTTCTTGTGGATTTACTAGATTCGTTCGTTCTACTCTTCGACACTAAGCACCTATATATATTATTCCGCATGATGGATGTATCTTACATATAATTCCCTGTATAGTCTTGAAGTGAACTAGAACCAAAGATTTAAGAAGAATGGCATGAACTCATTTTATTCCGTTTAGTTCTCGTGAGCTATTTACAACCTGTGATATTTGAAAATCATAGTTTCAAAACGGGTTTAAATTACTAACATGAAAGATTTTAGTTGGAAGTTATAGCTATTGATCAGTTTTCAATATAACTTCCAATCCTCATGATAGGTTAAAGTTACTGGTTGGCTACCTGCTTCGGTCTGGGCACCCGGGCAGTATCTCAGCCCACACACTATAACTATGATGAGTGTGGCGCATATATATTTGGTGCCCCCCTGTACCAATATTTATGTGTTCAAATAATAATAATAATAATAATACTGGTTGGCTGCAGTTAAAGTGTAAACTGTTGAACTCCGAAACTCTTTTATGTGTATCATACTCACCGCAAAATATGATTTTGAATGTTCGATTTTATTTGCCGAAAATATACACTATTGAGGAGTTTTATATTGTCAACCATATGATCACTGAGCTCAGTGAACAAGCCTATGAGACCGGTCGTACTAAACCAGCATTCTCCAACTCACTCTGTCCTGGGCCTTCTTTTCTAGTTCCACCCATTTCTTGTTCATTTTTCTTATGTTTATCTCTATTTGTGTTGAAAATCCTGACCTTGGTGTTGGTTGCCAATTTTTCTTAGTTCCAGATGTTCTTCAGTTGTAAATATGCTGCTCACATCTGCATCAGATCCACCGTGTTCACCGGTGTTCAATATTTTAAATGACAAAGTTTTTATAAGATTTTCTAGTACTTCCACTTCTTAATTATTTCATATACTATTCCCTAGAACAACTTCACATCAACTTTCATCTATTTTATTGAATCATAATATGTTTTAACACGGATTTTGCTGTTGTATTTCACTTGTTTTTTCCAGCGTACATCTACAAGTTTATCTACACGTCCAATAAATTGTGCAGCTCAACATACGGATGTTTATTCAATGGAAGTATTTTTCACATTATTTATTCGTTGGTTACGTCGTTTCTGTGATCAAGTACCTAGTTTACGACCGATTATTTGCCATGCTATCTTGGGTCATCTACCAACTGATAAAAATGGTATCAATCTTAGTGAATCAAATCAATCAAATGATATATTGCCAATATTACTCCCCGGGGAAATTGTTGAACAAGATTCATTTTTAAGTCATATATTGGAACGTCATAGTTTAACATGGAGATGTAAGCAATACTTACTTGTTTTGGTTGGAATATGGAATGGTTTTCGATGCATGGTGTCTTGTCTTTGTTCAATTGTTAGAGAACTACATAAGCATACAAAGTTTACTCTCAATTCCAAACCACTTCTTATGGTGTAACAGATATTGACAACACTCAATTATCTATACAGAAGGCCCGGGCCTTAATATTCAAGCATATTTTTTTGGAACCTAAAAAGCTTAAATAACCTGTACTGTATTCTGAAGGTTTTTCAGTTACCCAAAGACAATGTAGGATTCGGCCAAAACCGTCTATCAGCGCTGTATGCCATACCTCATAGCAAGAATGACAATTGATTTTCTAAGAAGTATGGTTGTAAAAGTATTATCAACAACAGTTGGAGCTAATTAAATTCAATGACACAGAATTAGAAATACCCATAAGAGAAATAGAACTAATGGAACTATACCACTGCAATCAGTTTCTATTCATGTTATTCTTAATCTCCAGCTATTAATTACGAGTATTGCATAAGTCTTAATCATGAAATCTTCATCTACTGACATGACTAAGTCTAGGAATCGAAAATTTCATAGATTAATGGAATGACTTGATCTCCTCACTTTTAATTTTCTTTCTAACCACTCATATTAGGACCGAAATTGCAAGACTAGTGTTCAAATATTCTTAGAATCTAGTTTATTCTATCTGTATGGTAGTAGTATATTTATTACATTTCCTATTTTAACAGTATATACAGTTGCTACACATTCATTGATAGACACATAAAATGTATTACATGATTTATTGTTTAACCCAATGAATTCTGATCCTAATAATTTGTTATTTATTCTTCTTTCTCATTTTTTCAGCTGTTCGACAAGAAATGTTACGTCTTATTATGAGTGTACTCCTAAAAGATAATTTTTATCGATGTGTATTTGCAATTAAATTTACCAGAGTAAGATATTTTATTCATGCTTCTATATATATATTAATGATTGTAATCTACGTCTATTTAAACAAATCAACATTAAATGGATATCTATCAATTACTTAAAAGTATTTCTAAGTAAAGATGGATAGTGGCTAGCAGTGGAATCCAGTTTGACGTGCGTTTCGTCCTATTTGGGACTCGTCAGCTGGATGTACCTGCATCTCATAGTTGGTGTTCACTCTGAGACTCGAACCCAGTACCATTCGCTACAAACGCCATCGCGTTATTCATTTAGCTACTGATTCCTGATAGCCACTTGCTTGTGCAATGGGGGGAATTTAAATTCACTTGGTATGCATATATGCCAATAACAGACTGATCAATTGCAGTCTTAAACCTCAATGGGAAGATTCAAGCAAAACAATATCAAGTAAATTTAAAAATATTTCGTTCAGAATAGAATAATTCACTGCATTTTACTAACCTCATGTTAATGAGATTGTCTTTTGACCTAAATTCGTTAATCGCAACATATTTCAACAGAGATGTATTGATAGATTTTTTAAAATCATCGTAACCAATGGTTGGAGACTCTGGGTGATATGGCTCAGGGTCGATCACAATGGCGTAGGCGTATAAACTCTCTGTCTTCCTTTAAACTATGAGATTAAAATCGATTCATATCAATTAATTCTTTCTTTCTGTGCTATATCCTTATATAAAATATTTCTCTTATATATTACACCATTGAGTTAACTACCTCTATGAGTCCGGTGTCCATCTTGTTGTTCTGATGAGGTATGGCAACTTGGACCGATGCATAAATGTTCATGGTGCTACGTTGTATCTGATTGACTAAGTGACTGATCTACTTAGTCATCATTCTGTTTACTTTTGAATCAATTTAAGGCGGTAAATGTGTTTAATAATTTAGGATATGCTCATACTTCTGGGTTTAATAGGAAAGTTGTAACTTGCTAACCAAGTATAGGTTAATATGTAGTTGATGTTTTAGCAGCACGTTTAATCTTACTGTTAATAACATTCGAGTGACTAAAAAGAATTAGTTGAATTGGGTCTCGAGCCTGCTATCTGTCAACTAAAAATTGGATGTCTTCACCACTGGTAATATTATTTCTGTCAAGATTGCCGGTACGCCTTGTTGATAAGTTTAAGGTTCAGCGTACCTAACCCGTAAGATTTTCTAATGGTATCTTGCAGCGGGGGTATTGTTTACGAAATTGAGAGGACGAAAAGAGAATATCCGGCGCTTTAACCGGATTGGTGAATACGGAAAACCCACCTAACGGAGCTGGAAAACTATGATCCCAAACCAACGGTGCACATGGGTTCCAGGATCCTGAGTGGACAAATGGCGTATGAACCAATTATTGGTCACCGGCTACCGTGATACTGCATCTAACATTTTTCCACTGCCTTGTGGTTTGGACCTCTAGGTCAAAGTCTCTGGGTGTGACTCTAAGAAAACCCCCTGTTTCGGTTTGGGCGCTCAGTCAGTATTCCAGCTCTCATAAAAATTGAATGATTTGTGTGGCGTATATTTATTTGGTGCCTAATTGTACCAATGTTTATGCTTAAATAAATAAAGTGGTGTCTCTGTAACTTTCGGTTCACCTGATCTTCGATGATGTATCACAGTGCATGCACTATTGTTATGTATAAGGTGCGAAATGAGCTTCATGTTATGTATGCATTCCATCCTGTTATCATTAGTGTAGTAACGGCTTAGTGGTCAACGCGCTTAACTTTCCGACAACTTGGTTTCAGGTTTCAATTCCTCTTTACTTCGGTTTAGTCAGCCTAGTAGTACCATCAGTCCTCACACTCAGAATATTTCTTAAAGTCAATGTACATGAATCTATAACTGGCACTTGAGTATTTAATAGTAGTCAAAGATTATATGATTTAAGCTTCATTTTAATTAGAAAATAATTGTTACTATGGCTTAATAAACTAGTGAATAAAACGTTTTTTTCTTATGAAGGATGTTATGTCTTCAAAAACTATAGTGTATGTACTGAATGAAAGCTTACCAATAGGGGAAATATACAAGTTTTTTTTCCATAATGTGTTCAACTATATATTCAGTAAGTTAGTCAGCTACAACGTAGCACCAGGCACATATATGCATCGGTTCAAGTTGACATACCGCATTAGCACAGCAATATAAACACCGGATTCATAAGAGTGGTTAAGTCAATGGTGGTAATATATAAAAGAAAGATTTCATATAAGGATATAGTACAGGAAGAAAGATTTAGTACGTCGAAAGAAAGATATGAAACGATTTTAATCTGTTAGTTTAAGGGAAGACAGAGAGTTTATACACCTACGCCATTGTGATCGATTCTGAGCCATATCACCTAGTCTCCAACGATTGCTTACGATAGTCACGCAGACCCCAACCAAGTAGTCTGTATCTACCAACATGGCTCAGACTAGATGTTAATGCCTTCAATCACTGATGCCAGTTTCGGTCTGACCGCCCCTAACTTTCTTACAACCATCCACAACACCGGTTAGCATTGCGTGTCGTGGTAATCGGTGTTTAGGCATACGCAGTACGTGGCCCAACCATCTCAGTTGATGAAGATTCACAACCTCATCAACTGATTTACCATCATTCCCTAATACTCTGCGTCTAACCTGACTATTACTTACTCGGTGATCCTAGCAGATACGAGGAATATTTCTAAGCGATCTATGATCAGATACTAGTATCTTACGAGTATCTTCTACTCTTAATGGCCATGTTTCGCTGCCGTAAAGTAAAACGAAACGAACTGCCGCTCAGTATACTCGTCCTTTTATTGACAGACGGATATCTCGCTTTAGCCAACTATATATTTCTTGTTTATGATCAATATTTGCTTTTATTAATCCGATGCCCATTAAAAATGAAAGACCTATTTAATTGATGGTATTAAATGTGAAATATACAGATAAATTTTTTTGTTATCATTAACTAGAAAAAAATTGTTTATTTACATTGTGTTGTTAACATGTGATTTTTGTTATTGACTAATATACAATATCAATTATATATCATATATGACTTTAGTAGATGCATTGTTATCAGCTGAATTTTCAATGAAATATATATATATATATATATATATATATATATATATATATATATATATATTTCTTCAAAAGCTCGACTTTATTATTATATAAATTCTAATTTCCTTGAAATCACTAATTTCTAGTCTTAGCCATGTTGGTAGATGCCGACTACTTGGTAGGGGTCCGCGTGACTATCCTAACCAATGGTTGGAGACTCTGAGTGACATGACCCAGAATTGATTACAATAGCCTAGGTCTATACACTCTATCTTCCCTTAAACTAGATTAAAATTGATTCATATATTTCTTCCTATACTATATCCTTATATGCAATCTTTTATATATTACTACCATTGAAGTAACAACTTGTATGAATTCAGTGTTCATTTTGTTGTGCTAATGGGGTTTGACAACTTGGACGGATGCATATATGTGCCTGGTCCTACATTGTAACTGGCTGACTGACTGACTAAATTTGTACACACCTATCTATTGTTTTTCTAGTTTCTGAAATATTATTCTGATGGGTAACAGTTTTTGTGTATATTTTATTATGTGAGTACTGGTTTGGCTCCGAATGATCGATAGATTATTAATATTTCAGAAAAATCTTTTGATTCATACATTTATTGTTCATGATTATGATTTGAAATTGGATAAATTGGTACATATGGAGGATCCACCTAGGGGAGTTTGAAAACCGATGGTGCACATGGGTTCCGGGATCCTGAGGGAATAAATGGCGTATAAACCAATTATTGGTCACCGGCTACCATGGAACTGCATCTCCTGACCTTTGTCTAGTTATTCATTTATCTCTTTGTCGTTAATTGGAAAAAATGTTGAAGATTGAAAATTGCAAAATTTTTTTGCACGTTTATCATTCACCGTGTTAATATTATTGGTTAGCGTTTTTTCGGCGGGTTAGTTTTCTACAAGGGGGGAGGTCACTAACCCGATGCCCAACCCTCCTCCTTTATTCGGGATTGAGACTGGCAGTAACCCCAGAGACGCTCCAGGCGGAGTTACAGTGGTAATAGTTATTCTTCATTAACAGTTGAATCTTACAATGTAATAATAATGCACCTCATTTATCATGTGAAGTATTTTGATTTGTTCTGTATATTCAAGGTTAGTCATACATTTTAGGGTCGGTCATGTAAATTGAAATGATTGGAATAGTATTCGAACTAGTAAACTATTGTTGATAAGCCAATTTTATAAAATAAAAATCTAAAATATTATTTTTATTTGACAATTATGTTTTATCAGTTTAGGGGTTGTGGAGATTGTTAAGTTCTTTGATTGAGATCATGAACCGATTAATGTTAGACCACCATTGAAAACTTGTAAGCACTGGACAGCTGTTTCGTTCTATTGTGGGTTCGAATCCCGCTGGCGGGATCGTGGATGCGCACTGATGAGGAGTCCCACAACAGGATGAGACGGCCGTCTAGTACTTCCAGGTTTTCAATGGTGGTCTAACATCAATCGGTTCATGATCTCAATCAAAAATTATGTTTTAATTTCCATTGTAACTAGATCATGTTCACTATAAATGATCCTAGTTAAGTGGAAATTATTGATTATTATCTACTAATCATATGATTGATATTTTGTTTTGTGTTGATTTTTGTTTTCCTATAAAAAAAACTCATTTCTTATATCAATCAACTATATGTGTCCATTGATCATCTATGTGTATTCATAGTCCTATTCATCGTTAATTCAAAATCATATTTATGATGATCATTTAGTTGGAGACAGTTTATGTGGTTTAAGTTGTCAATTTTACACTGTTATCAGTTTGGTAAGTTACATATTACTTCATGAATTTACATTCTAAAAAAGGTTTAGTTTTTAACTTTATATATATATATATATATATATATATATATATATATATATATATATATATATATATAACAGCCCCTTCCGTTTGTATGAAACAATCAATCAAATTTTAAATCAGGAGGATGTGCTGTTAGTCACTTATGGGGAAATTTTATTACCTAACGCACACCGCTTTGCTCCCAAATGCCCTGGAACGGTCGAAGGTTGGTAGAGTTAGCTCTCCCTCTCAAAATTCTTTCACATAGCCACGCGTATACAGCCAGAAACACGGAAGTTCTACTCATTGCCTTCTCGCGGCATTACTGTTGTTTTCAAAATTGAGAAGGCGAAAAACGAATATTCGGGACTTTAACCAGATTGGTGGAAACGGAGAGTTTACCTAGGAGAGCTGGGAAACCCCGATTCCAAACCAATGGTTCACATAGGCACCAGGATTCTGAGGGAACAAATGGCGTATAAACTAATTGTTGGTCACCGGCTACCATGTTACTGCATCTCCTTACGATGCTTCATTGCCTTGTGGATCAGACCTTTAGGTCGAAGGCTCCGGTTTGGGCACCCGGGCAGTGTCACAGTTCTCACACAAATCAAGTGTCTTGTGTGGCGCATATGCATTTGGTGCCTCCTTGTACCAATATTTATGTTTTCAAATAAATAAATAAATAAGCTTAATCCTTTTGAAACTAATGGCTACAGATTTTATGTAAAAAGATAACAAACACTTCACAGTTGAATCATCCAACTCAGAGAACATATTGTTCCCGAACTTCTCTCTCTGAACTACAAATCTCGATTATTGTATTATCTTGTACATCGATTAATTGATGTTTCTACATGCAGTTTTTGATAATGGTGTTGTTTTATTTTTCTAGTTGTAATATAATTTGTTTTCTTGTAAATGATATTTTGCATAGTTTTTGTCTGTGGCCAAGTTTCAGTTTGCATCCATATTGTTTTGGTGCCCTAAAATGATGTGGGGTCTTCCATTTTGACGTCAATTAGACTGCGTGTTGTCGACGAAGTCACCATTTCTGTGGTCTTTTATCTGATTACAATTAGATCTTATGTTGGTCGCTATTGAATGATTGCTATCGAAATATATATATGTCGCCTATCCTCGTATGTAATCGTCGACCTAACTCGCGTTAGTGAATAAGGGAATTAAAACAAGTCAAATACGAGAATGGATTTTCGAATACTTATATTTTGTACCATCGTTAATGGGAACAGATAATCAGAGAGTCGTAACGAAGAAAAAAGAGCGAAGCGAAACCATGCTCAGTGGAGAAGGCGTGTAAGCCAACTCCATTTAATCAAGCGTTAATCAAATATTTATAGTCACACAAAAATAGGTCACAGACATGCATGCAATGAATGGGATAAGAACTGTACAACGTACACTCATATAAAAGCAGTCAAGGTTGATAGGTGAATAATTAACAAGGTCAGAATGTGATTCAAGAACAATAGATAAATTGATCTGTCCAGAAGCTAGAATAATTTATATGGGCTTAACATAGTAACCGACACTACAATGAATCAATATTAGCTGCGAGATATTATCATCAAGAAAATATCAATTGTAATATGTCTCTGTACTTTAATGAATTAATTTTATTCATTACTCATCTTTATATCATGGTAACAATGCATGAATTCACTCAAATCTTATTAACTATTACATCCATATAACGCTTTTAGTTGTGACACAGGGTGAAATGTTCTATTAAATGATATATGATTCAAATCAGCTTGTTATGATGATGCACTTTACAAAGCACTAGGTATTTTCATTTTGTTATTATCTATACCAACTGATATTAATCACAGTTCTATCTTATATCCCGACCGTTATTGCTGCCTTGACGTGGTGGTCGGGCTTGCCTATCGTGATGAAGCAACTGAGCTATACTGGCTGGAACAACCGTTCCTCAAGGTCCTACCATGCCAGACAGGTCGGTTGAAGAGCGGTAAGACTAAAAGCAACAAAACCAAGGTCCGAAGGCGAATTCGTACTGCTGACTGTACAGAGGTGTGACAGCAGTAAGATGTTTCCTTCAGACAACCAGCATGACAGCGATGCTGCCTTCGCACAAGGAGGGGTTGGGTTAGAAAAGGTCGACCCTAAAAATGCACACCTCGCTTTATCCCACGGATATCCGTCTCCGGCGGTAAGGTGTCAACAAGTACGGAGCTAACACAAAAATTACTCATGAAAAGGTCGTGTGTGACCGACCACAAGCAGGTGTACCTTGGGCACTGTGGTCACGCTCTCAGGTCACTATGACCACCTCTAATCGAATTTCATTTTCAGGTACCTCCAGAAGGACCTTTCCACGGTGTGGGCAACCGGGAATTAATAACCGCCCTCATACTTCTAACAGCACTCAAGACCACTGTATTCATAATCAACCTCCCTCTTCAATTCCTGACTGACTGTCTGAACCTATCTTGTATGTAAACAATGGAATTAAAACAAACTACTTACAATTAGCAGCGTATTATCCATACTGCTTGGTGCACAATTATACTGGTTTTCTATATTGTCCATAACGTAGTATAAAGTATTATGTATAACGTTTTTTTTTGAATTTATAAAAGGATATCATACCTAATGAATATTTAATGCAGTATTACTATTGTTATTATTATTATTATTATTATTATTATTATTATTATTATTATTGTTTGTATTGCAGGCACGTCAGCTTTTAGAGCAGAACAATATATTGACACGATTAATTTCTCGACTAACTAGTGCATTTCAAGTTAATTCAATTGTTTTACCTGATTTTTATTCACAAACAAATAATCAAAATATACCTGCTGATATACAAGAAGAATTAGCTATATCTAACTTCAATACTGACACAAATATATCATGGATTAGTGCTGTTCTTGACCTACTTAGACGTTTAAATCCATTCGAATGGGGTTCATCAGCTGGATCTCATATGAACAATATTACAGTATCATCAACTAATATGAATCCAATAAATTGTGTCCTACCAGAACCGCGTGTTTTATCATGGCAAGCTGGTAATACACTTGCTCGGTCATTATTTCATCCATTTGAACGATTATTTCATGTTATACGTGATGTGGATTATATTTTGGCAAGTTTAACTAATGTTCGGCCTATTGTGATAGATAATGATGGTAATTGTTCAATTACTTGGTGGACAGAAGCTGCAAGATCTGCTTATCTTGATTATATAAGACAATTATTATTATTGCTCAGTTTTATACAAGTAAGTTGACTTGTCATCATTTTCTCCTTAGTAATAAATATATCGCAGTTATTATTTTCATACATTCATATATCACATGTGCATAATTTCACTGGTCAGTTGTTTATTCTACCATAGAATTTATTTTGTTCCTATTTACATTATGTGCTACAAATATACTTTTACAGACAGGTTTAAGGTCAACAAGAACCAATCAACATCGAGGAGGTGTACATGACAAGCTGTGAACTATATGTGGAGAAATTCAAACACTTCACTTCTACCTGAAGTTTGTGTTGATCGATGTCGTTCAGAAGAACGATGAAGGCTCCACGACCATTCTGAGAATTATTATTACTAATATTAATATTGTTTTTTTCATAATTTCCTTTACCAATATATATCATCCTGGCAATTAATGATTACCAATACAATACAATTCAGTAATTCTCTGTGATAATTCCGTACATAAACTCTCCTACTCTAATTTCTCTCTTTGAAAAATGTGATAAAGGGACCGCGATCGATAAACAGTTACTGTGATAAGATTTTCACACATGACAGACAACCAAATGTCATTTTCTTGTAGCATCTATTGTTATACTGAATCTCAGTTGGTATTTCCTTTGAATGATTTACTTTAAGATTTGTCAGAGGATACTTTATTACATGTTCGAATACATTTAAATTAGTCTAATAGTTTTTACGTAAATCTATGGTATGAGAAGGAAACGATGGTTATAGTGTTTTTTTTTTGAAGTGGAGGAACAGAACTGTGCTGCAGGTTTTTAAACAATGTTCTACGTTGAACCTATAGACAATTAAGTTCCAAAAAATATACTGGTAAACTATCAAAAAAACAGTCTAAATTTGAAGAGAAATTCAAATACAGTTCATTTTACTTCAAGTCAGTCAGTCATCTACAGCGTGGGACCAGGCACATATATGCATCGGTTCAAGTTGACATACCGCATTAGCACAGCAAGATAAACACCGGATTCATAAGAGTGGTTAAGTCAATGGTGGTAATATATAAAAGAAAGATTTCATATAAGGATATAGTACAGGAAGAAAGAATTAGTTCGTAGAAACGAAAATATGGAGCGATTTTAATCTGTTAGTTTAAGGGAAGACAGAGAGTTTATACACCTACGCCATTGTGATCGATTCTGAGCCATGTCACCAAGAGTCTCCAACCATCGGTTACGATAGTCACGCAGACCTCAACCAAGTATTCTATATCTATCAAAATGGCTCAGACCGGAAGTTAGTGACTTCAAGCACTGATGCCACGTTTTGGGTTGGCCGCCCCTAACTTTCTTCCAATCATCCCTAACACCGGTTACCATTGCGCATCGTGGTAATCGGTGTTCAGGCATACGCAGCACGTGGCCCAACCATCTCAGTCGATGAAGATTCATAACCTCTTCAACTGATTCACCATCATTCTCTAATACTCTATGTCTAACCTGACTAATTACTTACTCGGTGGTCCGAGCAGATGCGATCAATATTTCTAAGGCATCTTTGGTCAAATATTAGTAGCTTACGATTATCTTCTACTCTTAATGGCCATGTTTCGCTGACGTAAAGTAAAACAGAACAAACTGCCGCGCAGTATATTCGTCCCTTAATTGATAGACGTATATTTAGCCTTCTAATGACAGATACTGCTAGAGAACCTCCCGGTCCACAGAGTCAAATGCTACTTTTAAGTCAAGAAAAAATATCATTGTCGGACGCCGATAAGCATGCCTGTGTCCTTAGATCATTACAGCTCTGTACATTCAGCAGTACGACTTCGTCGTCGGACCTTCGGTTTTCTGCTTTTTGTCTTACCGTTCCCCAACGGACTTGGCTGCCATGGTAAGATCTTGAGGAACGATTGTTCCTGCCACTATTTATTTATTTATTTTTTATTTGAACACATAAATATTGGTACAAGGGGGGCACCAAATATATATGCGCCACACAAAACAATGATAATTTGAAGAGAAGGAGAAAAGAGAAAAAAAAAGAAGAAAAAAAAAGTAATGGACGTGGGGAATTATAAAAGAAAGGAAGAGAGAGAGAACAATGGTGGGGGAAACGGAAAGGTACAATCAGAAGAGATCTTTCAGTTAAGGAAGATACAACCACTTTTTATGAAGAAACTAAAAGAAGGTTACAGCACGATCGCCACTGGCTTCTATTCTGAGCCATATCTGATAACGTCTCTAGCCACTGCGTTACACCGTCTCTCGGACCCCAACCATGGAGTCGTGAAGGACCAACAGAAGCTAGCCCTTTGCAGCTTTCTTTCATACCACGACACCATGTCATATACTGACCACCTCTCCGCTTTTTCCAACCAGTCCCAGAGTCGGCAAATAATGCACGACGTGGAATTCTCTGGGACGACATTCGTAAAACATGTCCAAGCCACCGAAGTCGGTGTTTCAAGATGGTGACACCAATTTCATTATCGTCTCTGTGACCGAACACACGATGCCGAACTTCTGCATTACTGACATGGTGTTGCCACTGGATGCCAGCAATCCTTCGGAGACAGCGATGATCGAACACAGAGAGTCGTCTAACATCCTCAACTCGGAGAGGCCAGGTTTCACAAGCATAGAGCAAAACTGCTCTCACCGACGCGTTGTAGATCCGACCTTTTACAGCCAGACTAACATCACGAAGGCGCCAAAGATGGCCCAGATTGGCATAAGCCGCTCTGGCTTTCACTATACGTGCATTGATCTCATCACTCACACCACCACCAGCACTTATGCAGCTACCTAGATACACGAACTTCTCGACTACTTCAATCTGCTCACCATCCAGAGTGAGTACAGGATTCGAATCCTGCCAATCTTGTAGAAGTACTTTGCACTTCGAGGGTGCAAAGCACATACCATACCTACGGACATTGATTGCCAACTGATTAAGTGCGGATTGCATGGCTTGAACATTCTCGCACAGTAAGACAATATCATCCGCATACTCAAGGTCGAGAAGTCTTTCTCCAGGCAACAGATCCACACCACCATTACTTACATCCGTCAGAGCTGTTTCCAGAATGTCATCGATGGCAAAGTTGAAGAGGAATGGTGAGATTGGGCAACCCTGCCTAACCCCACTGCTCGAATGGAATAGTGGAGAAAGGTGGTTGTATGCCCTCACTCTGCCTGAGGTGTTTGTGTATAGGGCTTTTAGGATGTTAATAAACTTCTCAGGCACACCCTTCTTCAATAGACAATCCCAGAGAACAGTTCTGTCCAACGAATCGAAGGCGGCCCTGATATCAAGAAACACTACGATTGTTGGCCTTTGATAAGTATGGCGGTGTTCTAACACTTGGCGGAGGGTGAAGATATGATCAATACATCCTCGACCAGAAGGAAACCCAGCCTGCTCCTCGCGAGTCAATCCTTTTCGGGTTCTGAACAACCTACGAAGTATGACGGAAGCCAATAGCTTGGACGCAATCAGAAGTAGACTTATCCCCCGATAGTTGTTACAGGAACAACGTGAACCCTTTTTAAAGATAGGGACAACTATCGACTCATTCCATGACGTTGGTACACTCTCTAGTTCCCGGACGTTTGTAAACAACGTCGTCAGTCCCTTAGTCAGAAAGTCACCACCATCTTTAAAAAGAGCCGGAGGTAAGTCATCTGGGCCCCGTGATTTGTAACGTTTCAAGAGTTGGAGTTCCTTGCGGACTTCCGCCTCATTTGGTGGATCAGTCTTCACCGGCCATGGAGGGCAGGACAGTCTGACCGATGTTGCCGGAGCAGCAGGCCAGTTGAACTACCCTTCAAAGAATTCTGCCCATCGTCCAAGACGTCGATGGATGTTAGTGATTGGCGTTCCGTTATCTTCGCAGATTGTTTCGCTCACACCAGACTTCTTGCTGCCAGTGGCTCGGATGAGTTGGAAGAGCTTCCGGTAATTACCAGATGCAGCTGCTGCTTCCAACTCACTGGCACGCTCCGACCACCAGGTTTCTCGGTCCTCACGCAAGCTTTGCCCAAGTTTAGTACGTAAAATCTTTCGTTTGTGGTCAAACTCACGGTCACCCGGAGTAGACCGATGGGCTTCAATGAGTTGTAAGGAACCAGAAGAAACCCAGTGCTTATAAGCGGGATGTTTGGCGAACCCACAACAGACTGTACCCGCCATTTTCATGGCGTCATGCAATTGCAACCAATGCTCATCTATACTTTTCGGTGGAATGGTAGCTAGCCTAGAAGCTAGCTCGATTCGATACGTACTAGCAACAGAAGTTGCAACCAGCTTTCTAACGTCAATCCTTCGGTGGCGGTCACTTCGTTGTCCACTGAAAAGTAAGGTAAGATTGGCGCAGACCAGGGCATGATCAGATTCGAAATAGGTACTCCAAAAGGAGCGGCAGTCTTGTAAACAACCACACCAGCGGTCGCTGATCGTGATGTGATCAATCTGAGTCTAAGCTTGAGATGCAGAAGGGGGCACATCGGCGATGACTGTGCCGAAAGTTAGTGCTAGCCAGAAACAGGTTGTGGTCTGTGCATAGTTGCAGTAGACGTTCCCCGTTATCTGTCCTGCGACCAACGAGTCCCCATCGGCCACCTAAACGACTCTCTTCTGTGCCTAGACGCCCGACCTGAGCATTCAAGTCTCCAGCTAGTACTACAATATCTGTCGAACGCACTTTCTGGAGAAGAACAGTTAGATGATGGTAGAACTCGTCCTTGATTGCATCCGGGCTGCAATCTGTCGGGGCATAGGCGGAGATGACGAAAAGACATCGTTTCTCACGCCGATTTCTTCTCACTTTGATGGAACTTTCTAATCTAACAGCACATAACCGACTTTTAATGGGGATCCAGTCGACTAGTGCTGCCTCAGCTCTTGCGCTTAGTGCGACACCAACGCCAGCAAGACCAGACGAAGATGCCACAGGGTCCCCTGATAAACGCACATAAAACAAGCTTTTTGAACAGACAGATGGAGAGCGAACTTGTAGTACTTCACCAGAGTCTTGAATACGGGTCTCGGATAGACAACATACATCAATATTAAGACTTTCCAAAGACATAGCCAGCCCTATCTGTTGTCCGACCTGCATAAGTGTGCGAACGTTGAAGGCAGCCAGTTTGAATGCTGCACGTGGTTTCAGAAAAACTGCTTCAGTACTCATATTCGGTAGTAACATACAATTTTCAACCAGGCAGTGACTCGAGAACGTTTAGATAAAGCTGAATTTTCACCATAGGCGAGCTGCTGTCTGAGTCAAAGCGGATACAAAAAGTAGAAATAGGAGATAGTGAATAAATGACGTAGTAAATAATAATAATAATAACAATAATAATAATAGTAATAATAATAATAATACCAGTCATTTCAAGGTTAGTCGGAGAGAAATGAATACTTTCTATAAGCATATAGTTCATCATAGTTTTAGTGTGTGGGCTGAGATACTGCCCGGGTGCCCAGATCGAAGCAGGTGGTTTTCTTAGGGGGCCACATCCCGAGCCTTTGACCTAAAGGTCTAGTCCACAAGGCAGTGGAGCATCGTTAGGAGATGCAGTCCCATGGAAGCCGGTGACCAAAAGTTGGTTCATACGCCATTTGTTCCCTCAGGATACAGGAGCCCATGTGCACCATTGGTTTGGGATCCGGTTATAGCGCCGGACGTTCGCTTTTCGTCCTCTCATTTTCGTAAACAACACCGGTGGTGCGAGAAGGCAGTGAGTAGGACTTCCCTGGCAGAGACTGTATACGCGTGGCCGTGTGAGAGTATTTCGAGAGGGAGGGCGAACCCTCCCCGCTCTCGGCCATACCAGGGCATTTGGGGGCCACTATGTCCCGATTGGTTCATCACAATATCCAAGCTCGACTATTTTGTCAATCTAGCGTCAAAAGTCGTGGCTCATTTCTCTTTGGTGTACATTTTGCAGTTTTCGTATAAATGATCAAGGAAAATTACTGGAATTCGCGTCAGTGACTCCGATTGCCAATTCTCCAACTTGGAACAATCTTTGTGTCTCTATTCAAGGGTTTGTGATAGATATTTAGATACCAGACAAACTTTACGTATGAAGGTTAATAATGCTACCAGGATGCCTAAGCTACGAAAGTTGAGCCGAGTCATAAACATGAAACTTATATATTGATGTTTATATAATTATGCCAATTCCTTGTAGTGTCTGTTATTATGTTAAGCCCATATACCTTATTCTAGCTTCCGGCAGCCCATTCTATTCATTCTGCTTGAGTCACATACTGATCTTGTTATTATTCGCTCATCAATCCTGTTTTTATTTGAGCGCGTAGGCGTGTGTACACTTCTTATCCCATTACTCATCACATGTCTAACTTATTTTTGTGTGCTTATAAGTATTGCTTAACGCTTGGTTAAACGGGAGTTGGCTTACCAGCGCGTCACTTTTGCTTCACTTTCTTCTCCGCATCGTTCCTCCGTTCGTTTGTCTGATCAACGATTATACATAATATATGTATTCAAAGTCCATTCTCGTTATTGGACTTATTTAATTCCGTTATTGACTAACGCGATTTAAGTCGATGATTATATACGAGGATAGGCGACATATATATTTCAATAACAATCATTCATACGGTCGAATTGGAGTCAGATCATGGGCCACTAAAGTGGAGAGCCTTCCGTCGAACATCGTCCGATTTACATGACGACAAAATAAAGGGGCCCACAAAAGCCTTATGTATAATAAATAATTTCCCTGGTTCCATAGTCTTAAATGATGCTATATTGATGAAATGGTTATGAACACTATTCATTTCAGTTGATTATTATCCCCTGTAAATATATGTTATATTCTATTTCTCCTATTAATATTTGGGGAGGTACCAATGTTTCTGTCCAGAACATCAATGAAGGTAACTCAAAAAGCATAGTAACACCTCTAAAATACTCTCTTTAATATGAGATATTCTGTTGCATATTCAGTATCAGGACAGTTTCACTGTCCATTTATTACATTTACATATATACACTACTTATTCAGTTTTCTTTTATACCCATCTATAGGATATGAATGGTATGCAACGTGAAACACAAAATCATGTTGAAGAAGAATTAGAATGGGCTAGTGGATTTTATATTATGAGTTTATTAGTTAGTTTACTTGGCCTAACTGTACAAGTGGCGAGTTCAGATTATGAACTTTACAATTTGGTATTACGTGAAGTTCGTCAGGTAAGTTTTTTATTTTGGTTTCTGAAATAAATCCAAGAAAATAGCTTAAAAGAGAACAAATTTAATCATTTGAGTTTGATTTAATACAAATTTAATGCATCTATGTAGTATTCGGTCTTGCAATTTCAGTGATAACCCATTAGAAGTTAAAAACATACCGGCAACTGTAAAATATATTCGGGGGTGATTAGATTAACTAAAATCAGGCTCTGTAAGTCAGAACACGAATACAGCATATTTACTCAAACTGATATCTTCTTAATGGTTAGAAATACTTTATGAATGGTTTGAATCTATCTCAAGTTTCATGAAATGGGTTATTATATAAATATAAAGATATAAATATAAACATGATTGTAATAATGCATTAACAACCTATACATCAACTTGATTGATTATGAGAAGGCGTTTGACAGTGTAGATAGGAGAACATTATGGAAACTTCTTTAACACTATGGAGTTCCTGAGAAGATTGTTAACATTAGCTGGAACTCATACGACGGACTACAGTGCAAAGTAGTGCATGGATAATAACTGACAGACGCATTCCAAGTAAGGACCGGGGTCAGACAAGGCTGTCTACTCTCTCCCTTCCTCTTTCTTCTGGTGGTCGACTGGATTATGAAGACCTCGACATCTGAGGGAAAACACGGAATGCGATGGACAGGTCAGAACCAATTGGACGATTTGGACTTCGCAGATGACCTACCCTCCTATCGCATACGTACGAACAAATGAAGATAAAGACAGCCAGCATAGCAGCAGTCTCTGAATCAGTAGGCCTCAACATACATAAAGCGAAAACCAAGGTCGTCAAATACAACACGGAGAACACCAACACAACCACATTTGACGAAGGAACTTTGGAAGAGGTGGAATCGTCCACGTACCTGGGTAGCATCATCGATGAACAAGGAGAATCAGATGCAGACGTAAAGGCGAGGATTGGCGAAGCAATGGCCGCATTCCTACAATTGAAGAACATATGGAACTGAAAACAACTTCCAACCAATATCAAAGTCAGAATATTCAATATGAACGTCAAGGCAGTTCTACTGTACGGAGCTGAAAAGTGAAGAACTAATACAACCATCATCAAGAAGGTACAAGTATTTATCAATAGCTGTCTACACAAGATACTCAACATCTATTGGCTGGATACCATCAGCAACAGCCTACTGTGGGAGAGAACAAACCAGCTTCTAGCTGAAGAGGAAAATAGTAGAAGACGATGAAAAATGGATAGGACATACATTAGGCAAATCATCAAACTGCACCATGAGACAAGCGTTAACTTGGAATCCTGAGGGGAAACGGAAAAGAGGAAGACCAAATAACACATTACGTTGGGAAATGGAAGCAAATATGAATAGGACGAATAACAACTGGAAAGGATTGCCCAGGACAGGGTTAGATGAAGTGTGCTGTTAGGCGGCCTAAGCTCCTCCACGAGAAGTAATAGGGGTAAGTTAGTAAGTAAGTAACCCTCAATTATGACGCTTCGTATTAGGAAATTCACTAAACATAAGAGATCCTGGATGAGTTGCAAATTTCAACACGATGTTTGTAGTCTATGTAAATTAAAATTACTTACTTACTTACTTACGCCTGTTACTCCTCGTGAAGGAGCATAGGCCACTCACCAGCATTCTCCATCCAACCCTGTCCCAAGCAATCCTTTCAAGCTCTTTCCAGTTCTTATTCATCCTTTTCATATCTGTTTCTATTTCCCGACGTAATGTGTTCTTTGGCCTTCCTCTTTTAGGCTTCCCTTCAGAATTCCAAGTTAGCGCTTGTCTCGTAATGCAGTTTGATGATTTGCCTAATGTATGTCCTATCCATTTCCATCGTCTTTTCCTAATTTCCTCTTCAGCTGGAAGCTGGTTTGTTCTCTCCCACAAAAGGCTGTTGCTGATGGTATCCGGCCAATGGATGTTGAGTATCATGCGTAGACAGCTATTGATAAATACTTGTACCTTCTTGATGGTGGTTGTTGTAGTTCTCCAAGTTTCAGCTCCGTACAGTAGAACTGCCTTGACGTTCGTATTGAAGATTCTGACTTTGATATTGGTTGGAAGTTGTTTTCAGTTCAATTTTAGGAATGCGGCGATTGCTTCGCCTATCCTCGCCTTGACGTCTGCATCTGAACCTCCTTGTTTATCGACGATGCTTCCCAGGTATGTGAAGGATTTTACGTCTTCCAGAGTTTCGCCATCAAGAGTGATTGGATTGCTGTTCTCCGTGTTGTGTTTGAGGACCTTGGTTTTCCCTTTGTGTATGTTGAGGCCTACTGGTTCAGAGACTGCTGCTATGCTGGCTGTCTTTATCTGCATTTGTTCGTGTGTATGTGATAGGAGGGTAGGTCATCTACGAATTCCAAATCGTCCAATTGGTTCTGACCCGTCCATCGCATTCCGTGTTTTCCCTCAGATGTCGAGGTCTTCATAATCCAGTCGACCACCAGAAGAAAGAGGAAGGGAGAGAGTAGACAGCCTTGTCTTACTCCGGTCCTTACTTGGAATGCTTGAATTAAAATACTCTATTAGAATAATTTGTTCTATTTACAAGTAGTACACAAAGAAAAACTGTATGATTGTGACGAGATTTTGTGACTGTCTCTAGGTCAGTCATAGAAATTCAAAAGGAACAAATCATTCAACACAATAAAATAGAAAATAATAAAGGCCACTGAATCATAAAAACTAGTAGATATTATCAATTACACATATATGAAAAATTGGGCGTGACATATGAACTAGAAAATAAGGAAAGTTTGTTGAAAATAACATGCACCTTAATATCCAGTATACCCTTTTTCATTCAGAGATTAAATTTCATTGTTTTGGCTCAGCGGTCCAGTAGGTTAAAATTTCGCGCGCGAGACTGCAGGCCCTGGGTTCGAATCCTGCTAGAGGGGTCGTGGATGTGCACTGCTTAGGAGTCCCACAATAGAACGACACGACCATCTAGTGCTTCCAGGTTTCCAATGATGGTCTAACATCAATCGCTTCATGATCTCATTCAAAACAAGAATCAAAGTATAATCTATCAATCTATTGATAAGATCAATACTATCTGGTATTACACTTTGCCCCCAAATGCCCTGTTACGGCCGAGAGTGGGGAGAGTCCACTCTCCCTCTCCAAATGCTCTCACATGGCCACGCCCTAAGAAAACCATCTAGTTCGATCTGGGCACCCGTGCAGTATCACAGCCCTCACACATATCAAATGAGATCGGTGTGGCGCATGTGTATTTGGTGCCTCGTTGTACCAATATCTATGTGTTAAAATAAATAAATAAATAAATTGGCAAGAAAAATATTACAACGCCATTAATATTGAAAGTCATGTGGTGTAGAAGCAAAATTACGCAATACTTTTATTCGTTTTGATAAACATTCCTTTGGAGATTGAAATCAGCACTTTTTTTCGGTATATGTATCTTTCATGTGTTGTTAAGTGTAAATATCTATAACCAAATCATACGACTACCAATCTGTTAGTTAATAAAACACTTTTATCTCTTATATGATTAATTGAATAAACGAAGGATCTTACGTAGACTTATATGACATTGCGATTATCATTAATTATAAAGCAAAGTCTGAACACATATATTGTGAAAACTAAACGAAATCATTTATGTTAGTATTTTCTTATGTACAAATTGCCGAAATATTTCACTCCTTTTTTTTCTTCAATGAATTGGTTTTTATGAAAATGGGGGTTTGTGGAGATTGTAGTGATTTTAATACTTTAATTCATGAATCTTTGTAAGCTAGACCGCCGTTGAATGCCGGCTTAGTAATCTAGAGGTTAAGCATTCGCGCGTGAGATCTAAGGTCCTAGGTTCGAGTCCTGCATGTGGGATCGTCGATGTGTACTGCTGAAGGTTCTCATACTAGGACGAAACGGTCTTTCTGTGCTTTCAGGTTTTTAATAGTGGTCTAGCTTACATTGACTCATGATTTCAACTATTAGAATTGATCAGCTTTAAGATTTTAAACCCGTGAGTTAGTCAGTCAGCCTCAACGTAGGACCATGCACGTATATGCATCGGTTCAAGTTGCCATACCGCATTAGCACAACAAGATGAACACTGGATTCATAGGAGTAGTTAATTCAGTGGTGGTAATATATAGAAGAAAGATTGCATATAAGGATATAGTACAGGAAGATAGAATTAGTTCGTAGAAAGAAAGATTTGAAGTGATTTTAATCTCTTAGTTTAAAGGAAGACAGAGAGTGTATACACTGATGCCATTGTGATCGATTCTGAGCCATGTCACCAAGAGTCTCCAACCATCGGTTACGATAGTCACGCGGACCCCAACCAAGTAGTCTGCATCTACCAACATGTCTCAGACTAGATGTTAGTGACTTCAAGCACTGATGCCACGTTTTGGTTTGGCCACCCCTAACTTTCTTCCAGTCATCCCTAACACCGGTTAGCATTGCGCGTCGTGGTAATCTGTGTTCAGGCATACGCAGCACGTGGCCCAACCATCTCAGTCGATGAAGATTCATAACCTCTTCAACTGATTTACCATCATTCCCTAATACTCTGCGTCTAACCTGACTATTACTTACCCGGTGATCCCAGCACATACCCGCAATATTTCTAAGGCATCTGTGGTCAACTACTAGTAACTTACGAATATCTTCTACTCTTAAAGGCCATGTTTCGCAGCCGTATAGTAGAACGGAACGAACTGCCGCGCAGTATACTCGTCCCTTAATTGATAGATGGATATCTCGCCTTCGCCATAGATGACGTAAGTTGGCAAAGGCCAAGCGAGCTTTTCGAATCCGTGCTGAGATTTCGTCAGACACCAACCCATTAGGGCTGATCAGACTTCCAAGATAAGTGAAGTTGTCAACGCGTTCGACTACTTCACCCCCTATCCTTAGTTCGGGTGTTGACAAAGACCAGTCCTGAAGCAACAACTTGCATTTGGAGGGATAGAAGCGCATCCCAAACATTCTGGCATTGTTGCTCAGTGCTACCAAAAGACTGCATTTCTATGTTGATAAATGGACCTCCTGGAAGGAGATCAGTACCTGAGAATTCAGTCGATGAGAGCGTTATTTCCATCAGTAGGTCTATGATGAAGTTGAACAAAAATGGAGAAAGTGGACAGCCTTGGCGGACGCCACTTGAGGTTGCGAAAGCAGATGACAGTTCTCCGTAAGCTCTCACTCGACTAGTAGTGTTCGAGTAAAGAGCCTTCACAAGGTTTATGTACTTCTGAGGTACGCCTTTCAATGACAGACACTGCCACAGAACCTCTCGGTCTACAGAGTCAAACGCTGCTTTTAAGTCAAGGAATACCACCATTGTCGGACGCCGATAAGTATGCCTGTGTTCTAGAACCTGACGAATGGTGAATATGTGGTCGATGCAGCCACGACCAGGTCTGAAGCCAGCCTGATTTTCACGTGTTTGCAGTTCACGAGTCTTAGTTAGGCGTCCGATAATTATCGAAGCTAGTATTTTAGATACTATATTAGTCAAACTAATCCATCTATGGTTGTCACAGGATGATTTTGACCCCTTCTTATATATTGGGACGATAAGTGATTGTGACCAGTTAGATGGAATAACGTCTAACTCCAAGATTTTAGCTAAAATATTAGTCAACCTAATCGCTAAGACTAGACCACCATCCTTAAAGACCTCTGGGGCCAATCCATCTGGACCAGCTGCCCTTCCTCGTTTCAGATTAGCTATAGCCTTTTGAACTTCAGCTAGAGTTGGGGGACCTACCTCAATGTTCCGTTCACACTGTCTGGGAATAGAGGGTAATTGTAGAGTAGCTGAAGGCCAGCTAAACTGCTCCTTAAAGTGTTCCGCCCATCGTTCTAAGCGTCTGGACTGAGAGAAGGTGAGAGTGTCGTCTTTTTCCGAAATAGTCTGACTTACACTTGACTTATTAATTCCAGTTTCTTTTATTAGTCTGTAGAGTTGTCTTGTGTTCCCTATAGCCGCCGCCTTTTCCATCTCTTTTGCTTTTGTTGCCAACCACTGCTCACGATCGTTCCTTAGACTTTTGCTTAATCTAGATGTGATTTCTTTACGCTCTTCATCGTGTTCAGAACCTGATGGGATGAGTTTACGAGAATCTATCAGTGCAATAGGCCTTGAAGAAATCCATTGGTTCTTTGTAACCCTGTGGTTTAAATCACTAGTAGATGTCACTGCTGTTTCCACAGCTGCTTCTATGTCTTTCCAATCAACATCGGGGTCAGCCTCGTTTTCAGAACTACCTAAGTGTAACCTCAGTTGTTCCTGGAACCTACTTTTGGTTTTCTCATTACTCAATTCGATTCTAATGAGTCTTTTTTGCGTGGCTTTTGCTTAATCTAGATGTGATTTCTTTACGCTCTTCATTGTATTCAGAACCTGATGTCATGAGTTTACGAGAATGACCACAAATACCCTGGTACGGCCAAGAGTGGGGGGAGTCCGCTCCCCCTCTCGAAATGCTCTCATAAGGCCACGGGTATACAGCCTTTGCCAGGGAAGTCCTACTCACTGCCTTCTCGTGGCGGGGGTGTTGTTTACAAAAATGAGAGCACGAAAAGCGAATGTCCGGCGCTATAACCGGATCCCAAATCAATGGTGCACATGGGCTCCAGTATCCTGCGGGAACAAATGGCGTATGAACCAATCGTTGGTCACCGGCTACCATGGGACTGCATCTCCTCACGATGCTCCACTACCTTGTGGATCAGTTCTTCAGGTCAAAGGCTCGGTGTGTGGCCCCCTAAGAAAACCACCTGCTTCGGTTTGGGCACCCGGGCAGTATCACAGCCCTCACACATATCAAATGAGATCTATGTGGCGCATATGTATTTGGTGCCTTCTTGTACCGATATTTATGTGTTAAAATAAATAAATAAAAGTTTACGAGAATCTATCAGTGCAATAGACCTTGAAGAAATCCATTGGTTCTTTGTAACCCTGTGGTTTAAATCACTAGTAGATGTCACTGCTGTTTCCACAGCTGCTTCTATGTCTTTCCAATCAACATCGGGGTCAGCCTCGTTTTCAGAACTACCTAAGTGTGATCTCAGTTGTTCCTGGAACCTACTTTTGGTTTTCTCATTACTCAATTCGATTCTAATGAGTCTTTTTTTACGTGGCTTTTTTGCGTCCAGTGAGGCGCAAGCAGATGCGTGCTCGTACTAGGGCATGGTCGGAGTCCAAGCAGGTACTCCAGAATGAGCGACAATCTTCTATCGACCCTCTCCAACGATGACTGATGGCAATATGGTCTATTTGAGTCCATCGTTGGTTTGGTGCAAGGGGTCGCCATGTTAGACGATGTCTCTCCTTATGCTTAAAATATGTGTTTGCTAAAAATAAACGGTTGTCTGAGCAAAGTTGCAGCAGACGATCACCATTATCTGTTCTCTGTGCCGGAATACTAAAATACCCATCTAAATGTCTTTCTGTTTCGTTTAAGCTACCTACCTGGGCATTAAAGTCGCCTGCTACGGGTACTATGTCTGAACGTTTAGCTTTCTGAAGAAGTTCAGAGAGTTTTCTGTAAAATTCATCTTTCACTTCATCCGAGCTGCAGTCAGTGGGAGCGTAGGCAGAAACGACGAAAAGGCAACGACGTGTGTCCCTATCCTTTCGAGTTCTTACCGAGCCGTTTAGCCGAACAGCGCATAGACGACTGCTAACGGGGATCCATTCTAATAGCGCTTGTTCCGCCCTCATGCTAAGTGCTATGCCTACACCTGCAAGTCCACGAGAACTAGCCATCGGGTCGCCAGATACACGGAGGGTGTATCTCGTCGGCACTCCGTTTTGCCGAGGTGAGGTCAAGTGAATGACCACACTAGGATCCTGTATGCGTGTTTCGGAGACACAGCATGCATCAATCGTACGAGATTCTAAGGTTTTAGCCAAGGAAGCCTGCTGACCGATTTGGCATAGTGTGCGTACGTTGAAGGCTCCAATGTGTAGTTTGGAGCGAGGTTTCAGTAGAGCTGGGACAGCGTTTTGCGCACTAGAATCGTTGGCTGTGGTGACACTTGAGGAGGATGCCGAAAGAGGGAGTTTAGATTTGAAAGTCGATGTAATAGGAATAATAGGAATTGAAGAGGGAGGTTGATTATGAATACAGTGGTCTTGAGTGCTGTTAGAGGTATGAGTTCGGTTATCACTTCCCGGTTGCCCACACCGTGGAAGGGTCCTTCTGGAGGTACCTGAAAAGGAAATTCGATTAGAGGTGGTCATAGTGACCTGAGAGCGTGACCACAGTGCCCAAGGTACACCTGCTTGTGGTCGGTCACATACACACTTGTTGACACCTTACCGCCGGAGACGGATATCCGTGGGATAAGACGAGTTGTGCATTTTTAGGGTACACCTTTTCTAACCCAACACACCCCTCCTTTTGGGAAGGCAGCATCGCTGTTATGCTGGTTATCTGAAAGAAACACCTTACTGCTGTCACACCTCTGTACAGTCAGCAGTACGAATTCGCCTTCGGACCTTGGTTTTGTTGCTTTTAGTCTTACCGCTCTTCAACCGACCTGTCTGGCATGGTAGGACCTTGAGGAACGGTTGTTCCAGCCAGTATAGCTCAGTTGCTTCATCACGATAGGCAAGCCCGACCACCACGTCAAGGTTGCAAACCGTGAAGCATTTAATATGTAATAAGAACGTAAAATTACACGACAACAGATTTTTGTTAGTGTGATCTAGTTACAATTGTTTATTGAAAGACACGATATCATCTGAAAATTAGACAGCTGTTTTGTATGTTGCTTAAAACTCTCCAGTTTTATATGCAGTTACATAGACTCAAACCTATGAACATGATGACTGCTAACCAGTATTGAATTAGAATATATTTGTCTATTTACATTTTATGGGTTGTGTTATTTTGAAATGAAAAGAAATTAAATCATTAACATGCGGTTAGATTGTGACCCTGGTCCACTAGTGTGCTTGGTACCTGTGTGGTTGCGTCACAGGATTGAGCTGTATTATTCAGATTGTAGCGTGTTAAAGCCTATATGATGTCTGGTTCTCCTGTGAAGTGGGATTGAGCTGTACTGCTCGGGTTATAAAGTTTAAGCCTGGATGGTGTCTGGTTCTCCTGGAAACGGGATTGAGCCGTACTATTTAGGCTACAAATTTTAAGCCTGAACGGTGTCTGGCTATCCTGTTAAACGGGATTGAGCTGTACTGTTTGGGTTATCACATGAAAGTATGGATGATGTCTGGTTCTCCTGAAAACCAATGTAAGATTACGCTGACCCACAAGGGTATATTATACATAGATTATGACCTGTGATACACACTTGATTATATAATGTACTTCTAGCCCTCGTTATTGAATGATATTTAGTAAAAGAATAAAACTATTAATTTGAAATGGAAATATTCCTATTATTAAATAATTTTGTTGTTGTATGTTGCTCTATTCTTTGAATTTTGTTTACAGAATCTCTCATATGGTTTCATAATGTTGCTTGTTTGTTTGTTTATGGTTCTTATTGCATATAGGTCTTTGAAACACGTATTGGTATAATGGATCGTCGCTTTCGTATTAAACCGTTAACAATAGATCTTAAACTTGATAACAATGATGAATCTAATCAAGCTAATAACAATGTCATGTCGAATAAATTAAATTTTCATTCACTTGGTGTCACAACGGAAGTGTATGTGTATGATGTTTCAGTGTATCGTTTAAGTTTATTACAACCGATTCCCCGATTATTGGCAAGTTTGTATGGACATGGATTAGAAATGGGATTGAATTTTGGAAGCTTGGGTTTATCAGATCAGGTAGAAGATTGTTGTTATCATTTATATAATATCTTGTGACCATAATATTCGTTCCTTACTGATCTAGAATTTGAGGAAGTAGTATTGAAAATATCTTCTAATTGATGTTTTTATCACTCATTGTACTTTCCCACTGAGAATGTACAGTGGCAGCGGTGTTCGTCATCTTTCAGACATCAATAACGTAGATCTTTATACGTGCGTACATCAGTTCTAGTTGCCACACCACATTAGCACACAGATACAATTGTCGATTCAAATCCCATTCGGATAGAGGTTGTAAAAGTATAAGCAGTAATCGGAAAGATTAGGGTTTGAAGATGTTATTCAAGGAGTATAATCTAGTGAAATAAATTTGGAAATAGAAAAAAAAGGGACATAAAAAATTCAGAAGATTAGAATTTGAGTCATGTCATTCATGGTCTCTAGCCATCGGTTGCTGTCATCTCGCGGATCCCAGGAACCAGGTAGTCTACACCTACCAACACGGCTCAGTTCACTTGTCAGTGACTTCATGGATTTGTTCTATGTTTTGATCTGACCGCTCCTAGCATTCTTTCAACCTACTCCTACACCATGAAACATCGCACTTCGGGGCATTCGGTGGTTGGGCATACGTAACACATGTCCCAGCCATCTCAACTGATAAAGTTTTAATACTTCATCAATTGATTTACCATCCTTACCTAGTACCCGTTTCGTAACAACAGCATTACTTACTTGGTGGTCCCAGCTTATAAGAACTAATTATGTTACTAGTGTTTGAATGTGTTGGTATTTTTCTTCGTGGCTTCAAATGAAATATGAACTTAATTAGCTATTAAAGCTGTTCGCTTAATTCAATCATTGATTTTTTTTCGAAAATTTATATTATGACAATTAATCTTTTGGATTAGATGGAGTAAAAAGCTAAAGTACTTGTGTTGAACGTCCAAGGCATTGAAACCAAGGATAATTTAACGTATAGACAGCACATATCTCAACCGTAAAATGTAGTCACTTGTAGTGTTGTGCAGCTATCAAATTTAAACATAGTTGCATTTGTTGTTTAACAATTAAGGTCTTGAGATTAGATGTAGTCTAACTATTCATTCTTCGTTCATTAAAGTTTAGTTTAACGTTACTGTTTTTAGTGTCTGTGGATAGATAACAACCATAGTTTTATCTGTCCTACTAATTATAGCCCATATCCCACTAACCCTAATTGATACACAGTATCGTTAATTCACATGCATTGTGTGACTGAATAATTATATGGTATTCACATACATCTTGCCACTTTACATTTAGTTTCCCAACCTATTTGACTTTCGATGAATGAGAAGGATTACGAGAAAAAGCAACTTTTGAGTGATTTTTAGTCATCTAAAAAAGAAGGCATATGTATACACTATAGAAAACATAATTAGGGTGTGTGACTTTTATTCGTTGTAGCCACATTCAACTAGATACTGCAAATTTAATAGTTAAATACTTCTGTCACTATCTAATATCTTCATACTGTTTACCTAATTTCTCTTCCTACTCGTAAATTTTCCTGATTATCCTACTTGTGGATTCTGTGTTCTTCATTGATCTACCATAACATTGGTTCAGTTATCTCGTACACCTTTCAGCAGTAATCGATAAGTTATATGCTTTGTACATGAATCACTTCATTATCAACTTGAGCATTGTCTTTATTTTCTAACTAATTATTATTTATTTATTTCTAAAAAGGGATTTGTAAATTTATTGATTGAAAGACCGTTGCAAATATTTGCATTTTGTGCTCAATGCAATGCTAAAATGTGGGTTCGTAATGGATTTGCTGTTCAACAATCTGTAAGTGATACTTTCTTGTTGTATTTATTTTGTTATATGTTAATCAGTTTATAGACTGAATGTACGAGCTTTGGAGGGGAGAGGAAGTTAGCTTAGTCGTTAAAGTATTCAGCTTTCACATGTTTGAACTTGTGTATAAGGTGGTAGTTGGAGGTTATCCTTGGAGGAAATCCTTGACTTAGGTTTCGTGCTATTCGTCGCTCGTCAGTAAGGTGTACCTAAACTCTTAGGGGAACTGATACCTCCTGGCAGATTCAATCCTGTGTCACCCAGTATCACAGTCAGAGACATTATCGCTGAGTTATCCGGGCTGCGACTGATCTGCTGTCGAACTGAGATATTTTCACACTTAATTGATGACTGGGAAGTATTCAGTTGATATAAAGAATGTCGACCTAAGAAGACTACACTAAACGAAGGTCGAACCTGTCACCCTAGCCGAAATTCATAGTGAATTGGTAAAAAAACCTAGGACTTTCGAATCTCATGGCAATCGCTTAACTCATAAGTTTCTGAATCGACATCTAATGGTCTAAACTTCTAACGTCAGTCTAGTTGTATTATTGCACAGCTGTATTCCGTTACAATTTGTAGGTAATCATCTCACGATCAACATAATCATTCATCGTTGTTATATTACGAAGTTTTACTTTCAGTAACATTAATACATTTCCTAGATTTCTCTTGTTAGAATGCCTTGCTAAAGAAAGAGCGGTCAGGTAACGAAAATTATTTATTTATTTATTTATTTACTATTCTGATCTTTCATAATCGATGAAATCATATTCCTTTTAATTTCTTCTTACTATATTTACGTAAATTGTGTCATTTTCGAGCTTAGATGCACAGAATACTTCTAGATATTATAAATACTGTTAGTTTCCATCGACCTAGATGTCTCATTAATCTGTATTCTGAATTTTTATAGAATTAAATCTTGATCTAGGTAATAGTGATTTCATCTTGACATTTAACATTTTGATATCCACTTAGCAATGAATCGATCATAAAGAAACTATATTAGTTATTCTTATCTTTCCCTTTATTTTCACTGTGCATGTATACGACCTATGTTAGTGTATGCATGGTACCTTGTCGGAGTCTGCTAGCTCTCACCCCGATTAAACATATTTAAAACGGTAAATATTATGAATGAGTTTCATTCTTCATGGTGCAGATGCATCACTTTTATCCATTTCAGTAACTCTTTATACATATCTCCTAATTTTGTCTTCTCGAATCATGTTCTTAATGTTTGGTCTCCCATACTTTCTCTACTGCTGGTATTATTTTGACTTCTCTATATATCCTGTTAATTTTATCTAATCGTGATGTAGTTAGACAAGTTGAGCTAAATCAATTTTGTGCCTGTCTGTACGTACAATATGACTAGCTATTGTTTTTTTTTAAAAATTCTACAATTGTATAGATGACAAATCTATTCAGTCCATCAATACGTGTTGAATTAGTTGATCGTGATCTACAATTATTACAAATTGCTAGTTGTGTTCTACCGCCGGATGAATTTATTGTTCGTTTAATACACAAATTTCATTTGGGTAATTATTTAAAGACGTAAGTTCAAGTTGTTTTAATTAAATCAATCAATTAAATATGTTCAGTTTGAAGATATTTTAATCAAACTCAATAGTCCGTCAGTTACAATGTAGAACCAGGCACATATATGCATCGGTCTAAGTTGCCCATACCTCATTAGCACAACAAGATGAACACCGGATTCATAGAAGTAGTTAATCCAGTGGCGGTAATATATAAAATAAAGATTTGCATATAAGGACATAGTACGGGAAAACTCAATGGACAAATACTTACGCCTGTTACTCCTCGTGATGGAGCATAGGTCGCTTATCAACATTCTCCATCCAACCCTGTCCTGGACAATCCTTTCCAGCTCTTTCCAGTTGTTATTCATCCTTTTCATATCTGATTCTATTTTCCGCCTGTAGCTCTTCCAGAGTTACTGCCGGTCCCAAGCCAGGGTAAAGGAGGAGGGTTGGGCATGGGATTAGCGACCGCATCCCGTAGAAAACTAACTCGCTAAAAAAACACTAACCAGAAAAATGGACAAATATATTTTCAATTATTGTGGAAAATCTTGTAGCTCATGTGAATTGTTTTTTATGTTGTTGTTGGTAGGTTAGGGTTATCGTCTCTAAGCTCTTTAGTTTTTATAATTACAAAGCTTTTGTTCTCGTTTTGGCCAACAAAACTATCAAAGTATCTGAATTGATTATCCTACACAATTGATTCCAAACAACTGTAGATCAATCTACATTAGTTGAAATCATCAGATTCATTTTCTTATTTGTATTTAATTAAATAAATAAACATTGTTTGTCATTTTAAAATTCGTTTTCATCTTGAATCGTTTCCCTGAACGTTATTGATCTTATTATCAACAGATTTATTTGGTTTATGCTTATGTCAGTAGTTGAAATCATGAGTCAATTGAAGCTAGATCTCCATGGAAAACCTGGAAACACTGAACGACCGTTTCGTCCTATTATGTGACCCCTCAGATGTGTGCTTCCACGATCCCTCCCGCGTGACTCATGATTTCAACTATTGAAATTTCTAAAATCTCCACAAAATCCCTTCTGATTATATTTATTTCTCACCCTTACTATATTTGCACTAATACATTAATAATCAAACAATCATTTTACCGTTTTAATAATAATAATTAGCACGATTTCATTCTGGCACTTCTATATTCATCTGAGTTATAGAAGGATAGTTCATCAGGTCAGTCACATGTGTTTACGTTCTTATTCAATGATTACATTATAATAAAACTACATACCGGTATACTACAGTCTCAAGCACTTGTTTAACTGAAATTCTCCGACAGTTTAAACGTTTTTCCCTACTATCTCAGATTATATCAGGTAATTTTACTTTTATGGTGGCCATTACCTTAAGACTAACAGTAATATAAAGATTGTGTTTTGAATGAAACTACTAGACAGAGGACTGTTTTGTTAGTCGCAAAAATAATTGAAAGCATTTCCCTTGTTTGAGGTGTCGTACTATAGAATTACAAACTACTTATAAGTAAGCAGTTGATAAATGCTGAACTTTCAAATTCATTGTCTTTTATTAAATGTTTTTCTTTGTTATTATCCAACTTTTATTTTCAAAACCAAAAATACCTGAACAAAACAACAATCCAGTGATGTCTCATCTAAAGAACCCGGTCTTGGTCGTGTACATGCAGTGGAAATGTTGTTACGCGTAATATTGGCATGTGTTTCTAATCGTTCACGTCCTTCAATGGGTTATTTTACCAAAGACTACTACATGATGAACGACTCTAATAATAAACTGTTGAGTTGTTTGGATGATATCCTGATTGATACTGAATCGGAAATCTACTATCCGAGCCTAATTAATGATGTGATACATACATTATGCCTGAAACCTTTAAGTTATAGTGAATTATTATCCGTTCTTCCATATCAAAATGCAAATAGTTTATTGTTAAGAATTCCAACAGAACAATCGGATTCAACACATCATCAATCAGATCAATCAGACCATGAAATGAGCACAGAAGAAATACAACAATCTTCAACATCATGTTCTATGGATGTTAGCTCTACACCACCAGTTTTACCAGCTTCAATATCGAGGAGTGCCAATAAACGTGCTATAGAAAACGCATTACCTAAAATATTACGTAAACTAGCGGTACAATCGTCGGTGAATAATCGAACAGTGTTCAGTATACGACCAGAATATATGGCATATCGATTTAATCGATTTTATTGGGGATATCGACATCCGGAACAAACAGCTGTAAGTGTACTATCATTTATGTTTGTAAAATATAGCTTTGATAAACATCAATTCACATATTACTGTAAAATATTTAGTTTCCGCAATGGTAGAGAATGTTTGACTGTCTAATATAGTATGTTGTAGTTTTAAGTCTATCAGAATAATAAGTAAACTGAAGACACATTCGATCGATCTGCCTTTTATCAAATGATTAGATAACAATATTACATTGAACACAGAAAATTAGTGAATTAAGTTTTCTTCATGTCCAACTCTAAATTATTGAAATCAATCAAATAATTGTGATTGGAATGTTATACAACGAAGTTAGTAGATCATAGAAAGGTAAAAATGCCTTGAAAAGTTATTTTCTTACTGATTGGTTATTTAGCACTCATTTGGTTTCAAAGATGAATCTTTTAAACAGAGGCGATCCTTCAAGTATATACACATACTTCAAAACAGACTGATCAGTTGAATTTACAAATGTTTATGGGAAGATCCGAACAACTAAGATATATGAATTTTAACATGAATTTTGTAGCCAATTGTAACTTCTAAGAATTCTATACTGTTAGATTGTGGTTGGAGGTAGGTAACAGGAGACCCTGTTGGCTATTATTATTATTATTATTATTATTATTATTATTATTATTATTATCATTATTATTATTATTATTATTATTATTGCTGTGCATTTATCTTTAGCATCGATTTTTGGAAGGAATAATCGTAAACTTTTCAAATTCATTCAGGGTTACTGTATAAAGTCTGATACACTTAGTTTTCAGCTTGTATTCTAGCCAATAAAAGTATTTATATATTTTGTCCTTCACTGTCATATTCTCCAAACATTCTGCCTAATATTGTTTGACTATATATATTCATATTTCTATTATAGTGACATCATAGAAAAGGTTGAGTATAAAGTTATCAGTTATATTTTCATTTGTTACTAATTACTTACTTACGCCTGTTACTCCTCGTGGAGCAGCATAGGCCGCCCACCAGCGCTTTCCATCTAACCCTACCTGACCAATCTTTTTGAGCTCTTTCTAGTTCTTATTCATCCTTTTCATATCTGCTTCTATTTCCTGACGTTAATTGTTCCTTGACCTTCCTCTCTTCTAATTCCCTTCAGGATTCCAAGTTAGTGCTCACTTCGTGATGCGGTTTTGTGATTTTCGTAACGTGTGTCCTATCCGTTTCCATCGTCTTTTACTAATTTCCTCTTCATCTGGAATCTGGTTTGTTTTTTCCCACCGGAGACTGTTGCTGATGGTATCCGGCGAATGGATGTTCAGTATCTTGAGTAGACAATTGTTTACGAATACTTGTGCTTATTTAATGATTGTTGTAGTAGTTCTTCAGGTTTCAGCTCCATACAGTAAAACTGTCTCGACGCTCGTATTGAAGATTGTGACTTTGATATTGGTTGAAAGTTGTTTTGAGTTCCATTTGTTATCATTTAAGATATTGCATATTACTAAAAACTGTGTATATCTGTGTTTTTAGTCGTTTTTATTATTGGGTTGAGTAGAATTGTATTTAACAGTTTAACAAGTACAACTTTGTGAACATTTCAACAACTTGTTTTTCTTCTTTAATAGGCTGAAGCAAATGTTTCTAAATGTTTAAAAAAATGGATTCAAGAACAAAACAATATCGATTTAAAAAATCTTCCGATACCACCACCGGCTCCTCGTCCTTTACACAAATTTACACCATCTGTTTATCCTGGTCCATTAAATATTATTCAATGCGTTACATTTGTACGTTTAATTAAAACATTATTAGATATTGCCTATTCTCATGGAACATCAGCCTCATGGTGGTCACATAGTCTACTAGATTTGTTACTACATTTGATTACTGTAGCACTGTATGAAGATGAATTAAGTGGGAGGTAAGTTTCTTCGGTTTTTCTGATTTCTCAGTGTTGAAACTTGATAATAGATTATGATTGAGTTGTGGTTGAGCTTGCAGTTATTGTTATGGTACAGAAGATTAAATTTATTTTGGCACGAAGGAAATCTATTACATTAAGTTCTCTGTCATTGTTGATTGGTTATCAGGTATTCCTACAGTGACGGAACAAATTCAGTCAGTTAGTAAGGATTTGATCGTGACCAACATAGTCTCGTGCTCTGTTGTGACTATCCGGCTGCCCACGTCATGTAAGGATATTTCTTGAGGAACCTGAAAATGAAAATGGAGTAATTTTGGTCTTAACAACCTGGGAGCGTGACCGCAGATAGATAGATAGATAGATAGATAGATAGATAGATAGATAGATAGATAGATAGATAGATAGATAGATAGATAGATAGATTAGATAGATAGATAGATAGATAGATAGATAGATAGATAGATAGATAGATAGATAGATAGATAGATAGATAGATAGATAGATAGATAGATAGATAGATAGATAGATAGATAGATAGATAGATAGATAGATAGATAGATAGATAGATAGATAGATAGATAGATAGATAGATAGATAGATAGATAGATAGATAGATAGATAGATAGATAGATAGATAGATAGATAGATAGATAGATAGATAGATAGATAGATAGATAGATAGATAGATAGATAGATAGATAGATAGATAGATAGATAGATAGATAGATAGATAGATAGATAGATAGATAGATAGATAGATAGATAGATAGATAGATAGATAGATAGATAGATAGATAGATAGATAGATAGATAGATAGATAGATAGATAGATAGATAGATAGATAGATAGATAGATAGATAGATAGATAGATAGATAGATAGATAGATAGATAGATAGATAGATAGATAGATAGATAGATAGATAGATAGATAGATAGATAGATAGATAGATAGATAGATAGATAGATAGATAGATAGATAGATAGATAGATAGATAGATAGATAGATAGATAGATAGATAGATAGATAGATAGATAGATAGATAGATAGATAGATAGATAGATAGATAGATAGATAGATAGATAGATAGATAGATAGATAGATAGATAGATAGATAGATAGATAGATAGATAGATAGATAGATAGATAGATAGATAGATAGATAGATAGATAGATAGATAGATAGATAGATAGATAGATAGATAGATAGATAGATAGATAGATAGATAGATAGATAGATAGATAGATAGATAGATAGATAGATAGATAGATAGATAGATAGATAGATAGATAGATAGATAGATAGATAGATAGATAGATAGATAGATAGATAGATAGATAGATAGATAGATAGATAGATAGATAGATAGATAGATAGATAGATAGATAGATAGATAGATAGATAGATAGATAGATAGATAGATAGATAGATAGATAGATAGATAGATAGATAGATAGATAGATAGATAGATAGATAGATAGATAGATAGATAGATAGATAGATAGATAGATAGATAGATAGATAGATAGATAGATAGATAGATAGATAGATAGATAGATAGATAGATAGATAGATAGATAGATAGATAGATAGATAGATAGATAGATAGATAGATAGATAGATAGATAGATAGATAGATAGATAGATAGATAGATAGATAGATAGATAGATAGATAGATAGATAGATAGATAGATAGATAGATAGATAGATAGATAGATAGATAGATAGATAGATAGATAGATAGATAGATAGATAGATAGATAGATAGATAGATAGATAGATAGATAGATAGATAGATAGATAGATAGATAGATAGATAGATAGATAGATAGATAGATAGATAGATAGATAGATAGATAGATAGATAGATAGATAGATAGATAGATAGATAGATAGATAGATAGATAGATAGATAGATAGATAGATAGATAGATAGATAGATAGATAGATAGATAGATAGATAGATAGATAGATAGATAGATAGATAGATAGATAGATAGATAGATAGATAGATAGATAGATAGATAGATAGATAGATAGATAGATAGATAGATAGATAGATAGATAGATAGATAGATAGATAGATAGATAGATAGATAGATAGATAGATAGATAGATAGATAGATAGATAGATAGATAGATAGATAGATAGATAGATAGATAGATAGATAGATAGATAGATAGATAGATAGATAGATAGATAGATAGATAGATAGATAGATAGATAGATAGATAGATAGATAGATAGATAGATAGATAGATAGATAGATAGATAGATAGATAGATAGATAGATAGATAGATAGATAGATAGATAGATAGATAGATAGATAGATAGATAGATAGATAGATAGATAGATAGATAGATAGATAGATAGATAGATAGATAGATAGATAGATAGATAGATAGATAGATAGATAGATAGATAGATAGATAGATAGATAGATAGATAGATAGATAGATAGATAGATAGATAGATAGATAGATAGATAGATAGATAGATAGATAGATAGATAGATAGATAGATAGATAGATAGATAGATAGATAGATAGATAGATAGATAGATAGATAGATAGATAGATAGATAGATAGATAGATAGATAGATAGATAGATAGATAGATAGATAGATAGATAGATAGATAGATAGATAGATAGATAGATAGATAGATAGATAGATAGATAGATAGATAGATAGATAGATAGATAGATAGATAGATAGATAGATAGATAGATAGATAGATAGATAGATAGATAGATAGATAGATAGATAGATAGATAGATAGATAGATAGATAGATAGATAGATAGATAGATAGATAGATAGATAGATAGATAGATAGATAGATAGATAGATAGATAGATAGATAGATAGATAGATAGATAGATAGATAGATAGATAGATAGATAGATAGATAGATAGATAGATAGATAGATAGATAGATAGATAGATAGATAGATAGATAGATAGATAGATAGATAGATAGATAGATAGATAGATAGATAGATAGATAGATAGATAGATAGATAGATAGATAGATAGATAGATAGATAGATAGATAGATAGATAGATAGATAGATAGATAGATAGATAGATAGATAGATAGATAGATAGATAGATAGATAGATAGATAGATAGATAGATAGATAGATAGATAGATAGATAGATAGATAGATAGATAGATAGATAGATAGATAGATAGATAGATAGATAGATAGATAGATAGATAGATAGATAGATAGATAGATAGATAGATAGATAGATAGATAGATAGATAGATAGATAGATAGATAGATAGATAGATAGATAGATAGATAGATAGATAGATAGATAGATAGATAGATAGATAGATAGATAGATAGATAGATAGATAGATAGATAGATAGATAGATAGATAGATAGATAGATAGATAGATAGATAGATAGATAGATAGATAGATAGATAGATAGATAGATAGATAGATAGATAGATAGATAGATAGATAGATAGATAGATAGATAGATAGATAGATAGATAGATAGATAGATAGATAGATAGATAGATAGATAGATAGATAGATAGATAGATAGATAGATAGATAGATAGATAGATAGATAGATAGATAGATAGATAGATAGATAGATAGATAGATAGATAGATAGATAGATAGATAGATAGATAGATAGATAGATAGATAGATAGATAGATAGATAGATAGATAGATAGATAGATAGATAGATAGATAGATAGATAGATAGATAGATAGATAGATAGATAGATAGATAGATAGATAGATAGATAGATAGATAGATAGATAGATAGATAGATAGATAGATAGATAGATAGATAGATAGATAGATAGATAGATAGATAGATAGATAGATAGATAGATAGATAGATAGATAGATAGATAGATAGATAGATAGATAGATAGATAGATAGATAGATAGATAGATAGATAGATAGATAGATAGATAGATAGATAGATAGATAGATAGATAGATAGATAGATAGATAGATAGATAGATAGATAGATAGATAGATAGATAGATAGATAGATAGATAGATAGATAGATAGATAGATAGATAGATAGATAGATAGATAGATAGATAGATAGATAGATAGATAGATAGATAGATAGATAGATAGATAGATAGATAGATAGATAGATAGATAGATAGATAGATAGATAGATAGATAGATAGATAGATAGATAGATAGATAGATAGATAGATAGATAGATAGATAGATAGATAGATAGATAGATAGATAGATAGATAGATAGATAGATAGATAGATAGATAGATAGATAGATAGATAGATAGATAGATAGATAGATAGATAGATAGATAGATAGATAGATAGATAGATAGATAGATAGATAGATAGATAGATAGATAGATAGACGTAAGAAGGGTTAGTCGTGGAAATAAGAGAGTTATTAAGAGGTGTAGGAAGGATTTGAATGTGACCAACGTGGTCTTGTGTGCTGTTACGGGTATGAGGGCTGTTGTCACTTCCCGGTTGCCCACACTGTGGAAGGGAATTTTTGAGGAATCTGAAAAGAAAATCGGATTAGTGTTGGTCTTAGCGACCAGGGTGCGTGACCGCAGAGCCCAGGGGATGACTGCTTGAGGCCGGTCGCGCACGGCCTTTCCGTGGGAGGTTTTTAGTGTGTTAGTTCCGTTCTTCAAAGGGCCTTACCGCCGGAGACGGAAATCCGTGGGGTAAGGTGAGGTGTGACATTTTTATGGTCAACCTTTTCTAAACCCTTCCTTAATTGTGAGAAGGCAGCATCGCTGCAGATGCTGGTTGTCCGAGGGAAACACCTTACTGCTGTCACACCTCCGTACAGTCAGCAGTACGACTTCGTCCTCAGACTTTGAGTTGCTGCTTTTAGTTTTACCGTTCTCCAATCGGCCTGCCTGGCATGGTAGAACCTATAGGAAGCAAGCCCGACCACCACGTCAAGGTAGCAGCTATGGTCGGGATGGGTCAATCTAATCTTACCGGATAATGCTTCTCCCATAATAACGGCCTGATCAAACGGAACCCAGTACCATACAAGAATTTTTCCTTCCTAACGATATAACACTAATATTCTTTAGACTGTATTTCACTCAACTTTTCCTTGATATGAACAAGAATTGGGCCCCGGCAGTCTCCCAGCCCTCACACAAATCCAATGGTTTATGTGGCACATATCTGTTTGGTGCCTCCTTGAATTGAAAGTGAACAATATACCTATTCCAACAATCCAAATAATAAAGATACATTCATAAAAACACCACATTTTATATAATAATAATATCATCGGGGTACCTAGCCTGTCGTATGCCCTGATGGTGTTCTCGTAACGTTCGCGTTGCCTGATCTGCCAAAGGCGATGCGACAGTGCATGATGCTATTGTTGTGTGCTAGATTCAAAGAGAATTGGATGCTATATGCATGCAAATCCGCCCCGTTGTTGTTCCTTGCCCCCAAACGCCCTGGTATGGCCGAGAGTGGAGTGGGCTCGCCCTCCCTCTCGAAATACTCTCACACGACCAGGCGTTCACAGCCTCTGCCAGGGAAGTTCTACTCACTGCCTTCTCGTGACATTACTGTTGTTTACGAAAATGAGAGGACGAAAAGCGAATGTCCGGCGCTATAACCGGATCCCAATTCTATGGTGCACATGGGCTCCAGTGTCCTGAGGGAACAAATGGCGTATGAACCAATCGTTGGTCACTGGATGCCGTGGGACTGCATCTCCTCACGATGCTCCATTGCCTTGTGGATCAGACCTTTAGGCCGAAGGCTCGGTGTGTGACCCCCTAAGTAAACCATCTGCTTCGGTTTGGGCACCCGGGTAGTATCGCAGCCCACACACAGATAAAATTTTGTGTGGCGCATATATATTTGATGCCCTCTTGTATCAATATTTATGTGCTCAAATAAATAAGTAAATAATAAGAATATTACAGGATCTCTGCTTGTTTACTAGCGCTGATTGATTAAATATCGGTCAATCAGTGTGTCCCGATTCAATCCGATTATACAACCGTCAGAAATCTATGCTGCTGACAATTTTTAAATACTGTTGTTAAATTTTTTTTGGATATACAAATTAATTTACTTTTTAATCATCTGGATAGTATTTTTCTCTTGTGTTATGGAGAAGACACATTTGTATCTCACCTCATTCATTCCACTTGTGAACGACATGCAAGGTTGATAACCATTTTATCTATATCCTTCAGCTAATATTAGCTAATTGGCTAACCGTTCAATTTCAAGTTCGAACCCCTCTTCAGTTCAATTAGAACATTGGGTATCTCGAATTCCTATTTTTTTTACGGAATTATTGAATTTAACGCCTAAATATTTAATTTTCTTAGGATTAACGTTTGTATTTGTAGTATATGCCTTTTAAATATTTTTTCCAAATTCAATAACTACAGATGCGTTGCAGCAATTGGAAAACTCTCCCAGTCTCTCATATTGTACGAGCATTCCATGCACCTAAATAAATAGTTGCTCTGGTTGTCTGAAGAAGCATCGGCCTCGTGACTTCCGAAGGAACTCGGCTTTCATCATGAGGCGTCATAACTCTTCTAGACGAAGACCTTCTGACTCCCGGGGCAGAGTTTAAATTGTTTGAATATATTTTTCTGGTTAGCGTTTTTTTAGCGAGTTAGTTTTCTACGAGATGGGGTCGCTAACCCCATGCCCAATCCTCCTCCTTTATCCGGGCTTGGGACTGGCAGTACTCCCCGGAGGGACTCCAGGCGGAGTTTACAGATGCGTTATACAATTTAATTTCAGTTTTACTTCAGAGATAATGAGAACTGTCTTGCAAAATAACATTCAATTTTTTATATACGTAATCGTATAACGTTATCTTTATCTCAAAAACCTGTTATAACACATTATTCACTTTATTTGTAATTGAATCACATAAAAAGTTAACCATGTTTACATTTTCTCTATTGTATTCTATCTATTTCTTAGTAAAACTGGTTCATATCCGTTTTTGATAGCTGTTACCCGTGTCCCAGAACATAGTGAATCTGATGCTGAATTAAAAGAGCTTGCATTTTCCGGGCATTGGTTAAAGTCTACCACAATCGATAAATCTGTTTTGTTCACACTTTTAAACAAGTATGTTTATTGTTATTAGTATTTTTTTTAAAAAAAGGTAATTTCCAACAATACGATCACAACTTGTAGTTACAACCGAGTGCCCTAAGTAGATTTTAATCACTTACCTATGTAGAAAAGATTATAAGCATCCACTTAACAACATCTTTAGTTCATATGGTATGTGTGGATTAAGTTCAACATGTATTGACCAGTTATATGGTCTTGATTAGGTTAATTTATTTACTACTTGTGTTTTGAAACTTTACTCTGATTGTCATTATATATGTATGATATAATCATGAATAGACTTTTTATAGGGAGGTTGTTTGCGTAGGAATTTATTTGCCAACCCTTTGAATATCTAAATATGTAATCTACAATTCAAAGAATCTTAGTCAGGAAATAGTTTTTCATGATCCCAGGTGAACGAAGTAAATTCATATGTCATTCCTTGGATCCCATATACACCATTAGTTTGGAATTACAATAAGCTTCTTAGCTGTGGAATTTTCCCCCTCTTCCCTTAGTTGATCTCCCCCTACCAATTAACGTAGTTTCTACAATGGAAGTTCACTTTTATCCCTGTTTTTTAAAGATGCTACACAAATATACAACCTCAGAAATGTTTTTGATCAATAAAGGATGATAATCTCTTCACATTCTAACACAGCAACGCGTTTGAATGCGATGTAGTTTATGTTATATGTAATGGTTTTAGTCTATTAAGACATTAAAGATATGTTTATTTCCAGTACACTAGAGTATAATAATTTTTTTCATGTCATCCATTTGCTTAGCTATATCAAAATTATAGTGTTCGCGTTTTTTTTTTATGGCAATCATTCAGCTTTCTTATTGATATCCGATCTAGCATATATAATAATGTGCCATTTAAGCTCATTTGACAGTTTTAAACCCTTGTAGTTTATCAGTCAGTCAGCTACAACGTAGTACCAGGCACATATATGCATCGGTCCAAGTCGCTATACCGCATTAGCACAACAAGGTGAACACCGGATTCATAGGAGTAGTTAAGTCAGTGGTAGTTATTTATTTGAACACATAAATATTGGTACAAGGGGGCACCAAATATATATGCACCACACAAAACAATGATCATTTGAAGAGAAAGGAGAAAAAAAGAGAGAACAATAATGGGGTACAATCAGCAGAAATCTTTCAGTTAAGGAAGAGGCAACCACTTTTTTAAGAAGAAAGTAAAAGAAGGTTACAGCAGGATCGCCATTGGCTTCTATTCTGAGCCATATCTGATAACGTCTCTAGCCACTGCGTTACACCGTCTCTCGGACCCCAACCATGGAGTCGTGAAGGACCAACAGAAGCCAGCCCTTTGCAGCTTTCTTTCATACCACCTCTCCGCTTTTTCCAACCAGTCTCAGCGTCAGCATGTGATGCATGACGAGGAATTCTCTGGGACGACATTCGTAGAACATGTCCAAGCCACCGAAGTCGGTGTTTCAAGATGGTGACACCAATGGAATTATCGTCTCTGTGACCGAACACACGATGCCGAACCTCTGCATTACTAACATGGTGTTGCCACTGGATGTCAGCAATCCTTCGGAGAAAACGATGATCAAACACAGAGAGTCGTCTAACATCCTCAACTCGGAGAGGCCAGGTTTCACAAGCATAGAGCAAAATTGCTCTCACCGACGCGTTGTAGGCAGCCCTGATATCAAGAAACACTACGATTGTTGGCCTTTGATAAGTATGGCGGAGGGTGAAGATCTGATCAATACATCCTCGACCAGAACGAAACCCAGCCTGCTCCTCGCGAGTCAATCCTTCTCGAGTTTTGAACAACCTACGAATTATGAGGGAAGCCAATAGCTTGGACGCAATCGGAAGTAGACTTATCCCCCGATAGTTGTTACAGGAACGACGTGAACCCTTTTTAAAGATAGGGACAACTATCGACTCATTCCATGACGTTGGTACACTCTCTAGTTCCCGGACGTTTGTAAACAACGTCGTCAGTCCCTTAGTCAGAAAGTCACCACCATCTTTAAAAAGAGCCGGAGGTAAGTCGTCTGGGCCCCGTGATTTGTGGCGTTTCAATAGTTGGAGTTCCTTGCGGACTTCCGCCTCATTTGGTGGGTCAGTCGTCACCGGCCATGGAGGGCAGGACAGTCTGACAGATGTTGCCGGAGCAGCAGGCCAGTTGAACTGCCCTTCGAAAAATTCTGCCCATCGTCCAAGACGTCGATGGATGTTAGTGATTGGCGTTCCGTTATCTTCGCAGATTGTTTCGCTCACACCAGACTTCTTGCTGCCAGTGGCTCGGATGAGTTGGAAGAGCTTCCGGTAATTACCAGATGCAGCTGCTGCTTCCAACTCACTGGCACGCTCCGACCACCAGGTTTCTCGGTCCTCACGCAAGCTTTGCCCAAGTTTAGTACGTAAAATCTTTCGTTTGTGGTCAAACTCACGGTCACCCGGAGTAGACCGATGGGCTTCAATGAGTTGTAAGGAACCAGAAGAAACCCAGTGCTTATAAGCGGGATGTTTGGCGAACCCACAACAGACTGTACCCGCCATTTTCATGGCGTCATGCAATTGCAACCAATGCTCATCTATACTTTTCGGTGGAATGGTAGCTAGCCTAGAAGCTAGCTCGATTCGATACGTACTAGCAACAGAAGTTGCAACCAGCTTTCTAACGTCAATCCTTTGGTGGCGGTCACTTCGTTGTCCACTGAAAAGTAAGGTAAGATTGGCGCAGACCAGGGCATGATCAGATTCCAAATAGGTACTCCAAAAGGAGCGGCAGTCTTGTAAACAACCACACCAGCGGTCGCTGATCGTGATGTGATCAATCTGAGTCCAGACTTGAGATGCAGAAGGGGGACTCCAGGTGGCACATCGGTGATGACTGTGCCGAAAGTTAGTGCTAGCCAGAAACAGGTTGTGGTCTGTGCATAGTTGCAGTAGACGTTCCCCGTTATCTGTCCTGCGACCAACAAGTCTCCATCGGCCACCTAAACGACTCTCTTTTGTGCCTAGACGCCCGACCTGAGCTTTCAAGTCTCCGGCTAGTACTACAATATCTGTCGACCGCACTTTCTGGAGAACAGATAACTGGTAGTAGAATTCGTCTTTGATTGCATCCGGGCTGCAATCTGTCGGGGCATAGGCGGAGATGACGAGGAGACATCGTTTCTAACGCCGATTTCTTCTCACTTTGATGGAACTTCTTAATTTAACAGCACATAACCGACTTTTAATGGGGATCCAGTCGACTAGTGCTGCCTCAGCTCTTGCGCTTAGTGCGACACCAACGCCAGCAAGACCAGACGAAGATGCCACAGGGTCCCCTGATAAACGCACATAAAACAAGCTTTTTGAAGAAACAGATGGAGAGCGAACTTGTAGTACTTCACCAGAGTCTTGAATACGGGTCTCGGATAGACAACAAACGTCAATATTAAGACTTTCCAAAGACATAGCCAGCCCTATCTGTTGTCCGACCCGCATAAATGTGCGAACGTTGAAGGCAGCCAGTTTGAATGCTGCACGTGGTTTCAGAAAAACTGCTTCAGTACTCGTATTCGGTGGTAACATACAATTTTCAACCAGGCAGTGACTCGAGAACGTTTGGATAGAGCCGAATTTCCACCATAGGCGAGCTGCTGTATAAGTCGAAAAATACGGATAGACAGAGTGGGAATGAAAGAGAGTAAATAAATGACGCGGTAAATAATAATAATAATAATAATAACAATAATAATGCGAGTCATTTCAGTGTAAATCGGAGCGAAAAGAATATTTTCCATAGGTAAATAGTTCATCATGTTTTAGTGCGTAGGCTGGGATACGGCCCGGGTGCCCAGACCGAAGCAGGTGGTTTTCTTAGGGGGCCACACACCGAGCCTTTGACCTGGAGGTCTAGTCCACAAGGCAGTGGAGCATCGTGAAAAGATGCAGTCCCATGGAAGCCGGTGACCAAGAAATTGGTTCATACGCCATTTGTTCCCTCAGGATACTGGAGCCCATGTGCACCATAGAATTGGGATCCGGTTATAGCGCCGGACATTCGCTTTCGTCCTCTCATTTTCGTAAACAACAGTAATGTCACGAGAAGGCAGTGAGTAGGACTTCCCTGGCAGAGACTGTATACGCGTGGCCATGTGAGAGTATTTCGAGAGGGAGGGCGAACCCACCCCACTCTCGGCCATACCAGGGCATTTGGGGGCATTCAGTGGTAGTAATATATAAAAAATTTCATAAAAGGATATTGTACAGCAAGAAAGATTTAGTACATCTAAAGAAAGATATGAAGCGATTTTAATCTGTTACTTTAAGGGAAGACAGAGAGTGTATACACCTACACCATTGTGATCGATTCTGAGCCATATCACCCAGTCTCCAGCCATTGATTACGATAGTCACGCAGACCCCAACCAAGTAGTCTGTATCTACCAACATGGCTCAGACCAGATGTTAGTGCCTTCAATGACTGATGCAACGTTTTTGGTTTGGTCGCCCCTAACTTTCTTCCAAGTTATGTTAATTGTTAATTAGGGGTAATTGATGAACAAACATTATTATATTTTTGTATTTAGTCATTTCTTTTTTTTATCATTCCAGTAATTGTATAACTTCTCGATTGGTACGCATATTGAATTCTACATATCACGATGATCACTCAGATTTGATTAGGTAAGTAAATAGTTTCTTTTACCTTAGCTTTCCCTTGGTTTTTTTCTCCCGGTATTTTTTAAGTTGTTCTAGTGTTTGATTGGATAACCTGATATTTTAACAGTTGTTGTTTAAAGGCTTGAAATGTTCAGTCTAGTTCATACAAGTATTTTTACTGTCTCTAGTTATTCGATGAATGAAAATTACATTAATTAGTTACTATGTAGTAACCAAATTTGTGTTTATTTAAAGCTTGGTGCATTAACCGTGACACTTTGGAATCGCCTGCCCAAGTATCATGTACTTGATAATCACAAATTTTTCTTTTTTAGTGAATGTCAACTTGAATAAAACTTAATTCTTGTAATCTTACTGATTAACCTTAATCACCTAACACATCCATCCGTATCTGAATATAGGATTTTACTATTCATGATTTATGTATTTTTTCATCGTTATTATTTTAGATTTACTTTAGATTATTGGAATAAAGTCGTACAAAGTATGACAGGTGGACAACAGTCTGTTCATAATCCTTCGTCTGAATTTGGTGAAGTAAAAAAGGTAATTTGCTCATAAAAATGTTACTAACTATTTCCTTGTAAAATCATGGTCTATTTGAGTCCATCGTTAGTTTGTTGCAGGGGGTCACCATGTTAGACGACGTCTCTCCTTATGCTTAAAATTAGTGCCTGTTAAAAATAAAGTAAGCAGACGATCACCATTATCTGTTTGCTAAGCCAGGATAATAAAGTACCCACCTAAATGTCTTTCTGTTTAGTATTAGCTACCTAATTTGTTATTGAAGTCACCTGCTACGAATATTATGTCCGAGCGTTTATTTTTATGAAGAAGTTCGGAAAGCTTTCTGTAAAAGTAATCTTTCACTTCATCCTGGCTGCAGTCGGTGGGATCGTAGGCAGAAACGACGAAAAGCTCAAGACATGTGTCCCTATCCTTCATAGATCTTACAGAGCCTTTTAGCCGAACAACGCATAGGCGACTATTAACGGGAGTCCATTCTAATAGTGCTTGTTCTGCCCTCATACTTAGTGCTATGCTTACATCTTCCAGTCCACGAGAACTAGCTATGTAACGCCAGATACACGGAGGATGTATCTCGTCGGCTCTTCGTTAATGATGACCACACTAGGATCCTGTATGTGTGTTTTGGTGACACAGCATATATCAATGTTAGGAGATTCTAGAGTGCTAGCCAAGTATGCCAAGGATACATCATATATATATATATATATATATATAAATTTAGAGCCATGATAAAAAACTAATTTAAAAGAAGTATTCCTTCCGTCTATTTATCCTCTTATTAGATATCTCAATGGGAATTTTTAGTTTACTTTAAATGGATTATGTCTTGTGGTGTTTATTTACTACACTTATTTTATTTGTACTAAAGTATCCTTATTTTTAAAAAAATAATAATCAACTATGTCACTTTGCTTACTATCATAGGAATCTTCATCTTATCAGTTGTCAAGTGCTCTGGTTAAACAAGATCGTGCAGAAAAAGCGCGAGCTCGACGTGCACGAATTATGGCACGTATGTCAAATATGCAAAGAAATTTTATGGATTCTTTATCACAGAATGAAGCAACTATAAATGATGTATGTTTTGGTATCCTAAAATAATGTGTACCTTCCGTTTTACATAATTTTTGATTCTTAAACATTTAGAACTTTATGGAAACACAATATTGTTCGACTACACAGTGGATTGATGACACTATAGATCGATCGGAATCCAATAAACCTCTTAAGGTTCTTGTCTGTGTCTTAACTTGATGTTAATTCTGTAGGTTACGGTTACTCTTTAAGGAATTTAAACAACTTATATGTATTGCTGGATATTTTATTTAGCAATATTAAATCAAGCATAATTTTCAGGGATTCGTTCTATTTAGTCAATATAAACGATAATGAAAGTTTTAGATTTAGTTTTGTTCTCTGAGCTGGATGGTTAGGTCGTGGAGCTTTCATCGTTCTTCTGAACGACATCATCAGCACAACCTTCAGATAGAAGTGTGAAGTGTTCGACCGGAGCTACAAATCTTCTCCACCATCTCGATAATGAAAGTGTTTAGAGTAATAGAAAGAATAAATTTTATCACTAGTCTCATTTACTGCATTCCCTTGATTGACATCAATAGTGTATGTATGTACCACTTATTTATTTTAATAGGAAATTTAGCACGAATGTTAGTTAGATGTAAGTCATCGTAATCCCAATGGTATACATTCTTATGTAATAAGAAGAGAAAACTGCACTGTGATGTTGAATCATAGTTTGGTTCAATGACCACTTGGCAAATTTTATCAACATTACGAATTACTCAATGTGGTAATATGTGTCATTTGTTGTAGTAGTACTACTTCTTGGTTGTCATATAAAACTGAATACTTGAAATGATATTTGTAATTTTGTTAAAGTTGACTACCTTGAAACACCACTGTACAATTCATGGTTTGTTTTATTACACATATTTTAGACTGAATTAATGGATATTGATTCTCCTGAAGTAATCAACAATACTGTTAATAATCAGTCAACAATAACACAATCTGAATCAATCATATCAACTGTAGTACAACAATGTGCACTTGGTCCAACAAGATCTTTAGGTGGTGCTGCTTTCATTCTATCAGATTCATCAGTTTTACGGGGAATGGATAGTTCAAGTGTACAAAATAATGAATTAGTAACTTGTAATTTATGCTTGGTATGTTCTTATATGTATATAGTTCCATTACATCATTTTCTTGTCTTACTTCTCTATTGAATAAATTTCTTATTGTTTTTCTCTTCGGATAAATACAGTAATTGTTAATGTTTGAAGTTCAACTCTAGACTCTGGGTGACATGGTTCAGAATCGTGAGATAAAAATTGCTTTATACCTTTATTTCTACGAGCTTATCCTTTCTCCATGTATTATATTTGAATATACAGTCTTACTTTTATATATTACTACCATTGAAGCAACTGCTTCTATGAATTTGATGTTCATCTTCTTGTGCTAATAAAGTATGGCAACTTGAACCAACGCATATATGCGCCTGGTCGTATATTGTAGCTGACTGACTGACTAGCAATATGAAAATGTTTCTTATTTAGTTTCTAGTGGCGACTGGAATGCATTTTGTTCTGTGGCTCATGTATTGCTTTTCTTCTCCTTCTTTTTCAAACTATTCACTTACAATATGGATGTTTCGAATTATTTTGAAAAACTTCTTGTTTTTCAATGGTCTTGTTTTTTTTATTTTTCCTGCTTTGACTAGCTTGTTTAAAGTCTTTGAAATTCGGTTCTCTAATCTTTTGACGGGATTTATGTCCATCAGTTTTTATGTGCTCTTATCTTCAAGTAGTTCCTCGGCTTTTTTGACGTGTTTTTCTTTGTCCATAAATACTGTGGTGCGTCCTCTGTCCGTTGGAACTATGACAATATCCTTCCTAGTTATGAGTTTCTTCAAAGCTTTTTGTTCTTGTGGGGTCATTTGGTTGTTTTCCTTCTCACGTTGAGTTAGCGGTACTTTAATTTGCCTTATTTCTTGTTTTGTTTCTTCACTAATTCCGGTCGTTTTGAGTGATGACTCTAATACTGCGAAGAATTCCAGTTTTAAGGTGTCGCTTGTATTGAAGTTTGATCACTTTCGGGTAGGTGTTCTTCTGTATTTGTTAGTGGTTATTTTGACAGATTGATCACGCAGTTGTTTGTGTTTTCCATGTGTGGTTTTAAGATCTTGGTTAGTTTTTTCTTTAAGGTGTTCCTTCTTTATTCTGTGTGTCGTTTGCATGATATCTCGTTGACTGTTGTCAAAATTTCCAAATGTCACGTCGGAACATTTGGACTAAGCATCTGCATTAGTTATTTTCTTCTCATCAAAAATACCAGTACATGAAATGAGTGGATAATATTTCTCTCATAGAGAGATGAATGTTTGTGATTCAATGAAAAGTGAATATAATACTCAATATTCTACATTAGTATAATCAATGACAGAAGTGTGTTCGACTTTCAACCACAACTTATTACGGTTTACTATCTGGACATATTTCGATATGAACAACTTACTGGTAATATTATAGTGTATGCTACCTATGTTGACATATATAAATAGTATGTAACATTAATCATAACTGAAATACCTGGCAGCAGAAGATCTAGTTGAAGACAACAGGAATGAATGAACGATGAAATTTTTATCAGACAATCGACGGAAGATGTGTAAATTTTATACTTAATGTATGATTTTCACATTTAACTGAACCACTGTGTGATTTTGCGTTAAATAATCAATTGATCTCACTTGAGTTCCCGTTCACTACCGTGTCACTCATATTACTGAACTTAAGCTTTAGTTAGATAACCGTCAAAAGACAAAATGCATTGGATATCCTTTTCATCTTTGTATGGTCATTTCTAACCCCTCGAAGGGTTGACCAAGGAGTTTCAGATATAGCAACAAATGTTGCGCTCTTTAAATACTGTGTTGGCGCCCATCAGTTTACATTTCTAACTTTGAATTCAGAAATCTCCTTAAACTCATTATTATTAGTGTATTATTATGATAGTCTGCAGCATAGATTCATTTAATATTATCATTATTATTTTGGTTCTGTTATCATTTTTCTGATAGGAAGAAGTAACAGAGCATGCATCGAATCGAATGGTCATGGCTGCGCATATATGCCGATCTTCTGTACTATCTTCTCGTGGTATTGGATGGTTAGAAGGTCCTGTCACAATGTCTGTTGTTGAGCGTTTATGTGTTGAAAATGAAATGATTGGTTCAGAATCCTCAACAGTTGTTAGTAACCATCCAGTGCATTATGATAAACTATTTCCTGCTAACAAAATTCATAATGATGACAATCAGGTTAATAATAGTTTATTACAGCTATTTTTATTAAATTTGGGTGTATCGTTGTGTTTATGTTGTTGATCGTCATTATCTGACGTGTTATCAAATCGTTTGTGTTGTGAACTCTGGCCTATGGATAATAGGAACCACTGACAATCTATTGGTCCATTTATTGACTATATCTTCATTATGATAATCGGACCAACGATCTTCTGTTTAACTAGCAGTAGAAAGCACCCTTGACGAATAGCTAATTGACTGTGATACGTTGCTGGAAATGTTTAACACTTATCAGTCGATGATAACAAGCGCTCATAATTTCTATTTTCTTAATTTGAAACTCACTTGATGATGTACATTGATGACTAGACCATAATGTCCTCAGATTCCCGGGTATGGACGAATATAAGGAGGATCAGCTCTCCGCTTACAAATACTTCCACATGGCTACGCGTCCTACTCACTGCGACATTACTGTTGTTTACGAAATTGAGAGGGTGAAAAGCGAATGTATGGCACTTTAACCGGGTTAATTGATATGGAGATCCACCTAGGGGAGTTGGGAAAACCTGATTCCAAACCATTGGTACATAATGGCTTCAGGATCCTGAGGGATCAAATGGTGTATGAACCAGTTGTTGGTGACCGGCTACCATGGGACTGTATTTCCCAACGTTGTTTTACTGCCTTGTGGTTTAGACCTGTATGTCAAAGTTTCCGGGTGTGTTTGTCTAAGAAATTCACCTGTTTCAGTTTAAGCACCCGAACAGTATCCCAGAACTCACACGAATTGAATGATTTGTGTAGCGCATATTTATTTGGTGCCTCCTTGTACACCCAATAATGATTACCCAAGAAATTACTGTGTATGTAAATGATTACTCTATAAGTTAAAGTAAATTAACTTATGGTTCCGTAATGAACTCATATTAATTTAAGGAATGTAAATAGTGTAACAATCCAAGTCTTTAAAAATTTATACCATTTTGCCTTTAGATCTAAAAGTTTAGTCTCTCAAATTATCTCCAATATAACAGTTTGTTCTTCACTTGACATTTTATTCGGTCATTTACCATACAGCAGGTACTCGGGAGATTGATAATCAGTTGTTTTTTTGGAGCTAAATATGAATACTTAAATAGCACATTCTAATGATTTTTTGGTGAAAGTCTAACATTTTCATTGTTACTATAGATAATTCCGTCAAGGTCAAGTGAAACTTTATTGAGATTGTTTGTGACTGATTCAGTCAGTCAGCTACAACGTAGGACCAGGCACATATGTGCATCGGTCCAAGTTGCCATACCTCATTAGCACAACAAAATGAACACCGGATTCATAGATGACTGATGGCATCGTTGGAGAGGGTCGACGGTGTGGGCAACCGGGAAGTGAGAACCGCGTTCATAAGTCTAACAACACTCAAGACCACTGTGTTCATTTTGACTGATTATTTACATGTGAACTGTTTTATACCGTTTACTCGTTACTATGATATTATTGGGTGACTTTTTGCGTGTGTCAGTCAGTAACAACGCGGAACTTTGTACGTACGTATATCAGTTCTAGTTGCCATATCACATTAGCACAGTTATCGTCTAAAATCCCGTAGTGGTAGTGGTAGTGAAAGTATAAGTAGTGATAGGGATCATTAGGGTTTGATGATGTTATTTAAGGAGTATAGTCCAGTGGAATAGATTTGGAAAGAAAATAAAGGACATGAAGAATTCAGAAGATTAGAGTTTGAGAGAACACAAAGAGTGGATGCACCTGCACCATTGCAAACGATTTTTAGCCATGTCATTCAAGGTCTCGAACCATCGGTTGCTATCATCCGTGTGTCGATGAATCTGGATTCTGTGTTATTGTAGAAATTCTTTGGTATTTTGTTATATTCACTAATAAAAAAATCCACCTGAATTACAAATTGTCTTCGTTGAAGATTACTATTATTTCAATATCATTTTACATTTATTTCTAAATATTCATGCCCCTCTTCTATTTTTATTTTTAGCTTATTGCTTTCCTGGCATCAGTATCGACAACAGCTGCGGCTAAATGTGCCGGTTCTTCAAGAATGGGGCTTCGGATTATTCCTGAATTATTATCTGGTATACGATGTCTAGAGCTACGAAAAGATACTTCTATGTCGGTTGATTTCACAAATAAAAGTAGGTAAATTTTGTTCTATGATATGTAGGATTGTTTAAATCAATATTATTTGTCGGCAATAATTCTGATTGTTCATTAAAGCAATTTGTGTCGACTTCACCCGTCTTTGTACTGTTGTGACGTTAGTATATCTGTAAAGGTTCAGTCAGTCAGTAACAACGTGGAACTTCGTACGTACGTACATTAGTTCGAGTTGTCATACCACATAAACACAGATGCAGTTTTCGATTCTAATCCTATTTTGGTAGATGTAGTAACTGAGTAAGTAGTAATCGGAAAGATTATGGTTTGAAGATGTTACTCCCGACTGTTGTTGCTACTTTGACGTGGTGGTCGGGCGTGCCTATCGTGATGAATCAACTGAGCTATACTGGCTGGAACAACCGTTCCTCAAGGTCCTACCATGCCAAACTGGTCGGTTAAAGAGCGGTAAGACTAAAAGCAACAAAACCAAGATCCGAAGGCGAAGTCGTACTGCTGACTGTACAGAGGTGTGACAGCAGTAAGGTGTTTCTTTCAGACAACCAGCATAACAGCGATGCTGCCTTCCCAAAAGGAGGGGTGTGTTGGGTTAGAAAAGGTGTACCCTAAAAATGCACAACTCGTCTTATCCCACGGATATCCGTCTCCGGCGGTAAGGTGTCAACAAGTGTGTATGTGACCGACCACAAGCAGGTGTACCTTGGGCACTGTGGTCACGCTCTCAGGTCACTATGACCACCTCTAATCGAATTTCCTTATCAGGTACCTCCAGAAGGACCTTTCCACGGTGTGGGCAACCGGGAATCGATAACCGCTCTCATACTTCTAACAGCACTCAAGACCACTGTATTCATAATCAACCTCCCTCTTCAATTCCTATTATTCCTATTACATCGACTTTCAAACCTAAACTTCCTCCTTTGGTTTCCTCCTCAAGTATCACCACAGCCAACGATTCTAGTGCGCAAAACACTGTCCCAGGTCTACTGAAACCTCGCTCCAAACTACACATTGGAGCCTTCAACGTACGCACACTATGTCAAATTGGTCAGCAGGCTTCCTTGGCTAAAACCCTAGAATCTCGTACGATTATGTATGCTGTGTCTCCGAAACACGGATATAGGATCCTAGTGTGGTCATTCACTTGACCTCACCTCGGCAAAACGGAGTGCCGACGAGATACACCCTCCGTGTATCTGGCGACCCGATGGCTAGTTCTCGTGGACTTGCAGGTGTAGTCATAGCACTTAGCATGAGGGCATGAGATTAGATCCTCGTTAACAGTCGTCTATGCGCTGTTCGGCTAAACGGCTCGGTAAGAACTCGAAAGGATAGGGACACACGTCGTTGCAATTTCGTCGTTTCTGCATACGCTCCCACTGACTGCAGCTGGGATGAAGTGAAAGATGAATTTTACAGAAAGCTGTCTGAACTTTTTCAGAAAGCTAAACGTTCAGACATAGTACCGACCGTAGCTGCTACCTTGACGTGGGGGTCGGGCTTGCCTATCATGATGACCCAACCGAGCTATATTGGCTGGAACACATGTTCCTGCAGGTTCTACCATGCCAGGCAGGTCGATTGGAGAATGGTAAGACTAAAAGCAGCAACTCAAGGTCTGAGGACGAAGTCGTACTGCTGACTGTACGGAGGTGTGACAGCAGTAAGGTGTTTCCCTCGGACAACCAGCATCTGCAGCGATGCTGCCTTCTCACAATTAAGGAAGGGTTTAGAAAAGGTTGACCCTAAAAATGTCACACCTCACCTTACCCCACGGATTTCCGTCTCCGGCGGTAAGGCCCTTTGAAGAACGGAACTAACACACTAAAAACCTCCCACGGAAAGGCCGTGCGCGACCGGCCTCAAGCAGTCATCCCCTGGGCTCTGCGGTCACGCACCCTGGTCGCTAAGACCAACACTAATCCGATTTTCTTTTCAGATTCCTCAAAAATTCCCTTCCACAGTGTGGGCGACCGGGAAGTGACAACAGCCCTCATACCCGTAACAGCACACAAGACCACGTTGGTCACATTCAAATCCTTCCTACACCTCTTAATAACTCTCTTATTTCCACGACTAACCCTTCTTACGTCCCTTTATCACCTCGCCTTACTAGTGCAAACGATTCGAGTACGCGGAACGTTATTCCTGGTCTCCTGTAACCACTCTGTAAACTAAACATAGGAGCTTTCAACGTCCGAACACTGTAAATAGGACAACAGGCTTCCTTAGCTAGGACTTTAGAATCTCGCTCCATCGATGTGGGCTGCGTCTCCATAACGCGCATACAGCATCCGAGTAGTGTCATTCATTTGACCGCACCATGTCAAAGTAACAAACCTACTCGATTCACGCTTCGTGTATCTGAAAGCCCTGATGCTGCTTCCCGTGACCTCGCTGGCGTAGGTATAGCATTGAGTCCTAGGGCAGAACTAGCTCTCTTAGACTGGATCTCAGTAGACAGTCGTTTGTGCGCTGTCCGACTAAACGGAACAGAAATGACTCGGAAAGATAGGGACACTCGTCGTTGCCTATTCGTCGTCTCCGCGTACTCTCCCACTGACTGCAGCTCAGATAATGTAAAAGATGAGTTTTACAGAAAGCTATCCGACCTTCTCCGAAAAGCTAGGCGTTCAGATGTAGTAATAGTGGCTGGTGACTTTAATGCTCAAGTAGGTAAACTATGCGAAAGGGAGAGACACCTGGGTGGATCTTATTGTGTAGCGGCTCAAAGAACAGATAACGGTGACCGTCTGTTGCAGCTATGCTCAGATAACCGCCTGTTTCTTGCAAATACTAACTTTAAGCATAAGGATAAACATCTTCTGACATGGCGACCCCCTAATTCGTCCCATCATTGGACCCAAATAGATCACATCGCTATCAGCCACCGATGGAGGGGCTCGATAGAAGACTGTCACTGATTCTGGTGCACATGCTTAGACTCAGATCATGCTCTGGTGAAAGCGCGTATTTGTCTACGTTTTACTGGACGTAGGAAAGATGGTGCAAGGAAACCCCTTAGGGTCCTACTTAATGATAGTCAAGCTAAGAGTATATTTCAAGAACAACTAGAAAAACAGTTAGGCAGCCATGTAAGTGATGCCCATCCCAAGGCAGCGTGGAATGACATCTGGAAAGCTGTAGAAACAGCATTGATGTCTGCAAGTACGGTAAATCATAAGGTTTGGGAGAAACACTGGATATCAGCAGCATCTACCGCACTGATAGATGCTCGAAAACTCATTCCATCTGGCTCTGAACATAACCTTATAAAGGCTCTCTTCTCGAACACAACTGGTCGAGTGAGAGCTAATGACGAACTGTCATCAGAACTGATTACTTCAAGTGGTGTTCGTCAGCGCTGTCCTCTCTCTCCATTCTTGTTTAACTTTGCCGTTGACGTGCTTTTAGAAATAACACTTTCCTCATCTAAATTTCCAGGAGTTGAACTTTTACCGGTAGATTCACTTGTTGAATTAGAGTATGCCGATGACATAGATCTATTTAGTGAGGACGCTGACAAAATGCAGAGTCTGCTGACCACTCTAAGCAACAATGCAGGCATGTTCGGGATGCGATTCTCTCCCTCGAAATGCAAAATGTTGAATCAGGATCGGGTTGCATCGGCACCCGAACTAGTGATAGGGAGTGAAGTTTTTGGGCATGTCGACCGCTTCAACTGTGCTCAGACAACCGTTTATTTTTAGAAAACACAAATGTTGAGCATAAGGAGAGACATCGTCTAACATGGCGACCCCTTGCACCAAACCAACGATGGACTCAAATAGACCATATTGCCATCAGTCATCGTTGGAGAGGGTCGATAGAAGATTTTCACTCATTCTGGAGTACCTGCTTGGACTCCGACCATGCCCTAATGCGAGCACGCATCTGCTTGCGCCTCACTGTACGCAAAAAAGCCACGCAAAAAAGACTCATTAGAATCGAATTGAGTAATGAGAAAACCAAAAGTAGGTTCCAGGAACAACTGAGATCACACTTAGGTAGTTCTGAAAACGAGGCTGACCCCGATGTTGATTGGAAAGACATAGAAGCAGCTGTGGAAACAGCAGTGACATCTACTAGTGATTTAAACCACAGAGTTACAAAGAACCAATGGATTTATCCAAGGTCTATTGCACTGATAGATTCTCGTAAACTCATCCCATCAGGTTCTGAACACAATGAAGAGCTTAAAGAAATCAGATCTCGATTAAGCAAAAGTCTAAGGAACGATCGTAAGCAGTGGTTGGCAACGAAAGCAAAAGAGATGGAAAAGGCGGCGGCTATGGGGAACACAAGACAACTGTACAGACTAATAAAAGAAACTGGAATTTCTACGAACTAATACTTTCTTCCTGTATTATATCCTTATACACAATCTTTCTTTTATAAACTACTACCTTTAATGTGACTACTTCTATGAATCCGGTGTATGTCTTGTTGTGCTAATGCCCAGGTACGGCCGAGAGTGGGGAGAGTCCGCTCTCCCTCTCGAAATGCTCTCACATGGCCACGCGTATATAACCTCTGCCAGGGAAGTCCTACTCACTGCCTTCTCGTGGCGGGGGTGTTGTTTACAAAAAAACCGGACCCCAAACCGATGGTGCACATTGGCTCCAGTATCCTGAAGGAACGAATGGCGTATGAACCAATCATTGGTCATCGGCTTCCATGGGACTGCATCTCCTCATTATGCTCCACTGCCTCGTTGGTCAGACGTTCAGGTCGAAGGCTCGGGATGTGGCCTCCTAAGAAAACCACCTGCTTCGGTTTGGACACACGGGCAGTATGACAGCCCTCACACAAATCAATTGAGATTCGTGTGGCGCATATGTACTTGGTGCCTCTCTGTACCTATACTTATGTGTTAAAATAATAATAATAATAATGTGCTAATGCGGTATGGCAACTTGGACCGATGCATATATGTGCCTGGTCCTACGTTGCAGCTGACTGACTGACTGAAGATGTTACTCAAGGAGTATAATCCAGTGAAATAAATTTGGAAAGAAAATAAAGGCCATGAAGAATTCAGAAGATTAGAGTTTGGGAGAACGCAACGAGTGGATGCACCTGCACCATTGCAAACGATTTTTAGCCATGTCATTCAAGGTCTCGAACCATCGTTTGCTATCGTCTGGCGGACCCCAGCCAGGTAGTCTACACCTACCAACATGGCTCACTCACTCCACTTGTCAGTAACTTCATGGATTTGTGACATGTTGTGGTCTGGCCGCATCTAGCTTTCTTCCAACCTAATGCGTACAGTTTATCCATACTAAAGATATACAACAAATCTATGCATTTTATCACAACAATTACTCACACACACTTCATGTCAATACAAGTAAATAATGCAATCAGTGTATAAAATGGTCTGATATTCGATATTGTTTAAGTGTAATGTTCTCCTTATTATAATTGTGCAATTAGTTAAATTTTGTTATATTAATAATAATCATAATTATTATAGATGCTCTTGGTCCTGGCTTAATTGATCAATTACTTGATAGTTATGGTCTATCATCAGATCAAGATATCAATCATTCATTTATATTAGATCCTTGGCATCCACGACCTTTAGTTTCTAGTCGTGATCCAATTTCAGAAGAAGGATCATTTTTCACTTTTTGTTCACATCCCATGCATGCTTCATGTAAAACAAAATATGCAAGACAAATAAAAGGTCGAGTGGATCATCTAAATCGGTAAGTGTTTTTTTTAATGTAGATCATATTCATCAACATTTCGTTTTCAATTGTTTAATTTATCTCTTATGGAATTAGGGGTTTACATAATCTGATTTTGAGCCATATTGCTTGTGTGAATAATATGCTTGCACAAACCTGATGTTCAAACGTGCTATCGACTGATTGAAGGTGGCATTGTTGTAACACATTAAGCCACTGCTCCAAAGAAAACAACTTACCTTCAAATTGTGTTAACTCGCTCGTGAATAACGTAAAGAGATCTAATTTTTAGTTATATTTTTAACTCTATGATTGTTTGATGAATTTCTTTTGAAGCTAACTGAAAAGCTTGTATATTTGAAAACCCCCTTTTTGAATCAGCAGAAATCATCTCTGAATAAACCAAATGGCATATGTAACCATGCGAGAGTTATATGTGTAAATTCATCATTATTTTCCTGAAGTAACTGACAATCAGCTTTCAACGTTCTCATCCGCCCCCCCCCCTTAAGAGTAGAGAGGAGGCGGTTATACTATTTTCTCAAAAAAGAAATAATTAAAGCTCATAAGGGTTTTCTCCATTTGCTAAATAAATACACTGCTATTTTAGGACAAAGCAATAAATACTTCAATTCTTCCAATCCAGAAATTCTATGATGTAAAAAGGTGTATCATCTTTAGCAGATTTTCCTAACTGACTAATTAATTATACATTTGTAATTGTTTGAATTTTATCGTTCTCGATGTCAAGGGATGAATTCCCATCAATGTCTTTTAGCATACTTACTGCGTGTATTACCTCGACATTTCCATTAATTCATTTAAGATTGGATATTGGTTGGTAGATGTATCCAGGATACGGGTTCCGTTCATTAAGGGACTTCAGCTGGTGGTACCTGCATTTTAGTGATAATGCTCATATTTGGACTCTAAATGTATATCTTACGCTTTAAACGTTAAATGGATTTTCTATTGAGTTTGGATATGTCACTAAAAAGAGCTCAAGTTATTTCTTTAAAGGATAATTTCGATAACACTTTCAATGTGCATTCTCTCAATGTGATTTACTGTTGTTATATCAGCTGAGTTGTTCTATTTCAATGTTTTGACTTCTATTTGAATATAAAACTATCTTAAAAGACTCATCGTCTGTATTTCGTATTACCATATCAGTTGTCATTCTATTTTGTCTGCCATAAAATCTGTTCGTATTAGAATAAGCTTTGTCGTTCCTTAAGTAGCTATCAACGTTAACTCCAACCGGAAATCCAATATGTAATCATTTTATGATGTTATAACAAATATCGAGGCATTCTGTTCAATATAAATACATACATGTCTAGGGAAACTGATCACAATTCAGTTCTTAAAGTCAATAACGCGAGATGAATCAAACGTCTTCAAATAAATAATATTATTCATCCCTATTATACAAATTGGTGACTACTTGAACTCAGTAATTCAGTGGATAACAAGTTGAACATTTTAGATTAAGCGTACTAGGTTCACGTCCCACAGTAAGTATTAACATTGGAATTCAATTCACTCTTCCCAGCTGATGTGTACCGAATAGAACGGAACGCAAGTACTGAATTCAACTGTTAACCACTTCCCTTTTTAATTATCATGTTAGCCGGTCATCAAAAATTGTTTCATACGCCATTTGTTTCTTCAGAGTACTGGAGCCCATGTGCACCATTGGTTTGGAATTAGGGTTTTCCAACTCCCCTAGTTGAATTCTCCATATCTACCAACCTGGTTAAAGAGCCATACATTCTCTTTTCGTCCTCTGAATTCTGTAAACAACACTCCCGTCACGAGAAGGCATTGAGTAGGACTTCCCTGGCAGAGGCTATATACGCGTGGCCATGTGAGAGCATTTGGAGAGTGAGAACAGACTCTCCCAACTCTTGGCCGTACCAGGGCATTTAGGGGTATAAATAGGATGTCGCTACCAGGATCCTATTCCTAATTAGATATTTTACAAGCCAATGGAATTCAAATCTCGCTTACTGGCTTTGCATACTTGTTCGTGATATCAAAGTGCATGATAAGAACTACCTGTGAATATTTTATTAGATTGATTTCTTTTGGAAGCCTTTTTTGATGAGGCTATTTATAGGAAATAGTTGTAACCCCACGCCCGAACCTATTACTTTATAGGGGCTTAGGACCTGCAGTAACCTTAGATAAGCTTCAGGTGGAGGTATATTACTCACTTGATTGTTGTATATTTCGATTAGATTCCTTTTCATTTTTTTCTCTCTTTTCTTAGCAGTCGTAATTCATCAATGGTGGTATTTGAATTTCGTTGTCCGTTATGTAAATGTATATCTACATTGGATTTACCAATGTTAGGTCCAATTTATTTAGACCTTCCTATTGAATGGTTAAAATCAAGATTATTATCTTCGAATGATGAACATTCAAATCAATCCCGGTCTGTCACTTCTGTTACCAACACTAATAATACTACTGCTAATAATAATTTTCAACCATTAAGTTCTTGGCTATGTAATCTTTCACGTTGGTTAGATATGTCGTCAGATATAAATGATTTTATTTTGGGTCCATTATTCCCATCTACTTTAATTGGACATGCATCAATTGCTGATCGTTTACAAAATGCGGTATGTTTCATCATAAATGCATTATTTACTTTACTATGCCAGTTAGTAACAACGCGGAACTTTGTACGTACGTACATCAGTTCGAGTTGCCATACCACATTAGCACAGAGATTCAGTTATCGTCTAAAATCCCGTAGTGGTAGAGGTAGTGAAAGTATAAGTATTGATAGGGATCATTAGGGTTTGATGATGTTATTTAAGGAGTATAGTCCAGTGGAATAGATTTGGAAAGAAAATAAAGGACATGAAGAATTCAGAAGATTAGAGTTTGAGAGAACACAAAGAGTGGATGCACCTGCACCATTGCAAACGATTTTTAGCCATGTCATTCAAGGTCTCGAACCATCGGTTGCTATCATCTCGCGGTCCCCAACCAGGTAGTCTACACCTACCAACATGACTCAGTCCACTTGTCAGTGACTTCATGGATTTGTGACATGTTTTGATCTGACCGCCCCTAGCTTTCTTCCAACCTACTCCTACACCATAAAACATAGCACGTCGAGGCAGTCGGTGGTCTGGCATGCGCAGCACATGTCCCAGCCATCTCAACTGATTAAGTTTCACTACTTCCTCAATTGATTTGCTATCCTTACCTAGTACCCGTTTCCTAACAACTGAGTTACTTACTCGGTGGTCCCAGGATATACTAGCAATGCTTCAAAGACACCTATGATCAAATTCTAGTAACCTACGAATATCCTCTACTCTTGCTGGCCATATTTCACTGCCATAAAGTAGGACGGAACGAACTGCTGCGCAGTAAACACGGATATCTCGCTTACGCCACAAATGATGCAAGTTGGCAAAAGCTAGTCGAGCCTTCTGTATCCGTGCTGAGATCTCGTCACACACCAGACCACAAGGGCTGATGAGACTTCCAAGATAATTGAAGCGGTCGACATGCCCAAAAACTTCACTCCCTATCACTAGTTCGGGTGCCGATGCAACCCGATCCTGATTCAACATTTTGCATTTCGAGGGAGAGAATCGCATCCCGAACATGCCTGCATTGTTGCTTAGAGTGGTCAGCAGACTCTGCATTTTGTCAGCGTCCTCACTAAATAGATCTATGTCATCGGCATACTCTAATTCAACAAGTGAATCTACCGGTAAAAGTTCAACTCCTGGAAATTTAGATGAGGAAAGTGTTATTTCTAAAAGCACGTCAACGGCAAAGTTAAACAAGAATGGAGAGAGTGGACAGCGCTGACGAACACCATTTGAAGTAATCAGTTCTGATGACAGTTCGTCATTAGCTCTCACTCGACCAGTTGTGTTCGAATAGAGTATTATTTTCACGTTATTATTACTTTGAAATACCTTCGAAAAAAAACGACAACACTCCCAAATGGAACCAGATACCTAGATTCGTAAAAGCCTGCATGAATGACTATCTACTCTTAATAAATTGTAAGAATAAAAAAGAGACCACTTACCTGATTTCGTTAATTTTCTTGATTTATCTTGCATCTCTAAGGCCAAGTCCACACTACGTACTCGACGAATATTTTCACGATCTAGCATTATAGAAAGAAGACACAAATTGGTACATCTTGAAAAGCGTAATTGTGTAAAGTAGGAGAACGAGATCGTATAAAATCTCACCAACTAAAACGGTGCATCAATCACACCTTAGTCATGAAATGATACAAATCGAAAATATTTACACAAATCGATAATGTAATAATACATTAAATAATCAATAAATTACATAGTAACACTAAACAGAAATACGGTATAAACATAAAATATCAATATTTATCACAGATGATGTTGGATTTCAATAATCTCTAATGTTTGTATATTATTTTATAAATCAATTACACAATTGATTTGGAAATGCCTGATATTATCAATTAGACAAACGGAAAATAGATAGATAGATAGATAGATAGATAGATAGATAGATAGATAGATAGATAGATAGATAGATAGATAGATAGATAGATAGATAGATAGATAGATAGATAGATAGATAGATAGATAGATAGATAGATAGATAGATAGATAGATAGATAGATAGATAGATAGATAGATAGATAGATAGATAGATAGATAGATAGATAGATAGATAGATAGATAGATAGATAGATAGATAGATAGATAGATAGATAGATAGATAGATAGATAGATAGATAGATAGATAGATAGATAGATAGATAGATAGATAGATAGATAGATAGATAGATAGATAGATAGATAGATAGATAGATAGATAGATAGATAGATAGATAGATAGATAGATAGATAGATAGATAGATAGATAGATAGATAGATAGATAGATAGATAGATAGATAGATAGATAGATAGATAGATAGATAGATAGATAGATAGATAGATAGATAGATAGATAGATAGATAGATAGATAGATAGATAGATAGATAGATAGATAGATAGATAGATAGATAGATAGATAGATAGATAGATAGATAGATAGATAGATAGATAGATAGATAGATAGATAGATAGATAGATAGATAGATAGATAGATAGATAGATAGATAGATAGATAGATAGATAGATAGATAGATAGATAGATAGATAGATAGATAGATAGATAGATAGATAGATAGATAGATAGATAGATAGATAGATAGATAGATAGATAGATAGATAGATAGATAGATAGATAGATAGATAGATAGATAGATAGATAGATAGATAGATAGATAGATAGATAGATAGATAGATAGATAGATAGATAGATAGATAGATAGATAGATAGATAGATAGATAGATAGATAGATAGATAGATAGATAGATAGATAGATAGATAGATAGATAGATAGATAGATAGATAGATAGATAGATAGATAGATAGATAGATAGATAGATAGATAGATAGATAGATAGATAGATAGATAGATAGATAGATAGATAGATAGATAGATAGATAGATAGATAGATAGATAGATAGATAGATAGATAGATAGATAGATAGATAGATAGATAGATAGATAGATAGATAGATAGATAGATAGATAGATAGATAGATAGATAGATAGATAGATAGATAGATAGATAGATAGATAGATAGATAGATAGATAGATAGATAGATAGATAGATAGATAGATAGATAGATAGATAGATAGATAGATAGATAGATAGATAGATAGATAGATAGATAGATAGATAGATAGATAGATAGATAGATAGATAGATAGATAGATAGATAGATAGATAGATAGATAGATAGATAGATAGATAGATAGATAGATAGATAGATAGATAGATAGATAGATAGATAGATAGATAGATAGATAGATAGATAGATAGATAGATAGATAGATAGATAGATAGATAGATAGATAGATAGATAGATAGATAGATAGATAGATAGATAGATAGATAGATAGATAGATAGATAGATAGACGTAAGAAGGGTTAGTCGTGGAAATAAGAGAGTTATTAAGAGGTGTAGGAAGGATTTGAATGTGACCAACGTGGTCTTGTGTGCTGTTACGGGTATGAGGGCTGTTGTCACTTCCCGGTTGCCCACACTGTGGAAGGGAATTTTTGAGGAATCTGAAAAGAAAATCGGATTAGTGTTGGTCTTAGCGACCAGGGTGCGTGACCGCAGAGCCCAGGGGATGACTGCTTGAGGCCGGTCGCGCACGGCCTTTCCGTGGGAGGTTTTTAGTGTGTTAGTTCCGTTCTTCAAAGGGCCTTACCGCCGGAGACGGAAATCCGTGGGGTAAGGTGAGGTGTGACATTTTTAGGGTCAACCTTTTCTAAACCCTTCCTTAATTGTGAGAAGGCAGCATCGCTGCAGATGCTGGTTGTCCGAGGGAAACACCTTACTGCTGTCACACCTCCGTACAGTCAGCAGTACGACTTCGTCCTCAGACCTTGAGTTGCTGCTTTTAGTCTTACCATTCTCCAATCGACCTGCCTGGCATGGTAGAACCTGCAGGATCATGTGTTCCAGCCAATATAGCTTGGTTTGGTCACCACAATATGCAAGCCCGACCCCCACGTCAAGGTAGCAGCTACGGTCGGGATTTTCGTTTAGTATTATATGTTTAGTACAATTTGGAATTCTTGGCACTCAATATATCCATACCTTTCTTTTACTTTACTCATATCAGCAAAATCACTGGATAAGTACACACATATATACATGAAATAAGTAAATAATAATTTGTATAATTGTGAATTCGCAAATGGTTTAACAATATAAATTTTTTTAATATTAGATCAGTTTTTATTATCTTCTCGTCATATTGTAGATGTGACAAGTTTAATAAGGTAGAACTTTTGTGTTTTTACCTATATCCATGATTTCCAGTGTATCTGTATTTCGGTTTAAATGTAAATGAAGAGTTTGTAGGGTATCTGATAGAATAATAAATCTTAGTGATTCGCACAATTTCAAGGAGGCATTTTATTATTTATTTAAACACATAAATAGTGGTACAAGGGAGCATCAGATACATAAGTGCCACATAAGTCATTCGATTTGTGTGAGGAGTAGGATACTGCCCGTGGTTTTCTTAAGGGGTCACACTCGGAGCCTTCGATCTAAAGGTCTGATCCACAAGGCAGTGGAGCAACGTAAGGCTATGCAGTCCTATGGTAGCCGGTGACCAACAATTAGTTCATATTCCATTTGTTTCCTCAGGATACTACAGCCCATGTGCACCATTGGTTTGGAATTAGGGTTTTCCAACTCCCCCTAGTTGAATTCTCCATATCTACCAACCTGGTTAAAGAGCCATACATTCTCTTTTCGTCCTCTGAATTCTGTAAACAACACTCCCGTCACGAGAAGGCATTGAGTAGGACTTCCCTGGCAGAGGCTATATACGCGTGGCCATGTGAGAGCATTTGGAGAGTGAGAACAGACTCTCCCAACTCTTGGTCATATCAGGGCTTTCGGAGGCACAATTTCAAGTTTATATCCACAATTACATAATGACAGTTAAAGTTCCATAACGTTCCTTACTGTATATATTTGAGAAACTCATAAAAATGGCATGATTATTTTCGAATGTTCACGCAAAGGTTTTAGATGTAAAGTAAAATATTTGACAAATAATAGAATAATCCTATGTATTTGTACATTTAGTATGTTTTTGGTTATTAATATTAAAATCGATTTGTATTTCTTTTTTTTCCCTAACTCAGTCAACTACTGTAGATTCATCATTAGAAGATTATACATTTTGGAATTTTGGAAATATTATCTCATCAGATACAAATGTAAATTATTCTACTTCTCCATCAACATCATCACCATCATCATCATCATCCTTATCAGTTGATATGGATATTGATAATAATCCACCGAGTGCAAAACTTCTAGCATTTAGTGAAAATTATGAACTTGCTTCAAAATTAATTAATTCCATAGTGAAACGAATAAAATATAGTTTAATTGTCCAAGATAATGAAAATGATAATTATAATAATGAAACAAGCAATAGCAAGAAAAATTCTAAAGGCAATTCTAAAACTACTGATTATGGAGTTAGTAGTAGTGGAAGCAGTAGTTTAAATCCTTTAAGTCGACAATTTTGGACATCTAGACGATTTTCCAGACGTTCTACTTCAGATAATGACAATACCCCGATGAACTCATCTAATTCCAGAAGCAATAATAATAATAGTTCTAAAGTTAGTGGAAACACTTTAAGGAACCTTTTACCGCCACAATCTTCATCTCTTTTAGTTTCCACAAATTTATTTACGCTAGTTCAACGATTAGCTAGTTTATGTCAACCGAAATCATTGGATACACTTGTACAACGTCCAAGTGGTCGACGTTCTGCTGCTACTGCTGAGGTAGTTGGTAAGTTCACTAATGATGTTACATTGTTATAATGGAAAAGCGCTTGAAAAATTAGGTGGTCATGGTGATGTGACTGATAGCTTTACTTCTTGATTGCGTTCTAGCCCAAACCTGGTCGATAAAAATCTAATCAGTGCTTAAGACTAATAGAACATTACTGACTACCGTTCCGTTTATGTATTCCTTTACTAGATGATTAATCATATCAATGTAAAAGTTTATATAATCATATTTCAACCACACACACACACACATTATCCGGACGGTTGGTCAAATCGAAATAGATGACTAGTTGTTTGAACATGTAACCTGTATAATTGATAATCGCAGAATACATTGAGCCTTATGCTACTATTCTTCAGTAGGCTACATATAGTTACACTGACTTTAGATGACTAATTTTTGCACTTTGTCACGTAACCTAGTTGAATGGAATTTAATTTGTGACGAACGTTATCTCTAATTTTCATACGATAATCGCATTACCTACTAAAAGTATCCTATAATACTTACTCATAAGGCAGTTAGAGATGATGTTAAGTTTTATTAGCGGTTTGTAGATTGTTGTCACTCCCCGGTTGTCCGCATCGTGGAAAGATACTTATTCTTAAGATCAATAAAGAAAGTGGGTTAGTAACAATCTTAGCAACCTGAGAGTATAACCCTATAGCTCAGGGTAAAGAAACTACTTAAACCCAATTACTCACAACTTATTTTCTAGTGGCTGTTGATGTGTTCGCTCCATACTTATAAAGCCTTACCGTCGACAACCGAAATCCGTGGAGTAAGGTGTACTGTGTTGTTTTTAGAAGCGACATTTTCGACCCATTCCTCTTTTTGGGGGGGGGGATAAAGCATAGCTGTTTATCCTGGTTTCTTTGGAAACACTTTTTCGTCCTTTCACACCGTAATACAACTTAGCACTCAGACTTTAGTTTACTGCTTTTAGTCTACACCGTTCTCCAACTGACTTCTTTTGTAATATAGAGTCTAAATAACCTGTATTTCAATAACTATAGCTCGATTGTGTCGTCATAGTGGGGAGAGTCGACCACTAAGTGAATGTAGCAGCCACAGTTGGGAACTTAGTGTCACTCTATGATTTCTTCCTAACTGAAATACTGGATATTCAAATAGAGCGGGCACTAAATAGACATCGAGTGTTGGGGATGGTTAGAAGAAAGTTAGGGACGGCCAAACCAAAACGTGGCATCAGTCCTTGAAGTCACTTACTTCTAGTCTTAGCCATGTTGGTAGATGGAGACTACTTGGTTGGGGTCCGCATGACTATGGTAACCAATGGTTGAAGACTCTGTGTGAGATGACTCAGAATTGATCACAATGGCTTAGGTGTATAAACTCTCTTTCCTCCCTTAAACTGTGTGATTAAAATTGCTTTATATCTCTCTTTCTACCAACTAATTCTTCCTTTCTGTTCTATATCTTTATATGTAATCTTTCTTTTATATAATACTACCATTGGAGTAACTACTTCTGTGAATTCTGTGTTCATTTTGTTGTGCTAATGAGGTTTGGTAACTTGTAATGATGCATATATATGTGCCCTGTCCTACGTCGTAGCTGACTGACTGAATAAATAAACATGATATAGAAAAGTAACTATGTTCATTTGATGTTAATGGAGATATTGAATGGTCCATAATGTTCAATTCTGTCAATTACTTGTTTTATAAATAAATCTTAATCATGTATAAATTCAGTGGTATTGCTAATCATATCAGTTTGTGTGATTAATGATATATATATATATATATATATATATATATATATATATATATATATATATCATTTGTTCCTCTAATGACCAGCACTATTTTTGACCTTTTAGACAATATTCTAATCGATAAAAGAACATTTGTCGTTCATTAGTTTAGTTAGTATAGTCGATTGTTAGAGTGTCAAGGGTTTTAAGCGATTGAAATTATTCTATGATAGCAGCTTTAAACCCTGCTTTATGTGTAAACTCGGTATCATCACTTGAATAGTCACCAGGAGCAATTAGAAAAAAGTATGTGAGTGCATGACATCCGACTTCATGACCCATTATGTTTATAAAAATTAATTCAAATATATTACCCTGAAGAAGTCCAAACAACTTAACTGGACGAAACGTTGGAATTATTTAAATTTCAATCTCTGAGATTAGTTCACAAATATACTTTTCACATATAATGACATATTCATTTTGTTTATATTTACAAGTTATTTATATTGTTTGCTATTATTATTATTATTATTATCATCGTCAATGTTTCTAGTTAATAATGGACCAACAATTATTCCTCTACCAAATGAAATTAATGAAGAAGACGATGATCAAGTTGTAGCATTTGTTGTTGCAGATACAGAAATTCAAGTCAATTTATATCCAACTGACAATGATGCACCTACAGTGCCTGGTTCAAATATTCAAGTATTGGTTACACAAACAGAATATAATCCATCCACTACTTCTACTGCTTTTAATAGTAGTTCAGCAATATCAAATACATCTAATCACTCTCCTGTTAGACAATTATCACAAACTGTTCCATTCGATGCGAATTTAAGTCTTTCCGAAGCGATTGAACGTTTTCATTTAGATTTTATGAGTTTCTATGAACGTTTACGTACACTCGGCTCATCTATACCGCATACTACAACTATTATATCGTATCCAGTAACACCAACAGTGGGAATATCAAACTCTACAAAGCCTCAGATATCTGATCGTGTAACCAAAACTACAGAAGACATTAATCATAAAATTATTGTCAATTCTCATAATTCTGCTAAACATTATCTGGAACGTGTTACACAACGCGCTCGTAATGTAATTTGGTCAGCTGCTTGTGAATGGAGATCATTAAGACATAGTGTGGCGTATACATTGATTGGTTCCGAACGTGTAAGTAATCTTGTATAGTGTATTCTCTACACATCACTATCACTAATATTGCCGTTAGCATTATAAGTAGTAGATCAAATGTTTCGTACATTTCTCATATATCTAGTAGATTTTTATTTACTCGATTGTCAGGCTTGGTGTTTGTAGGCTAGTGCCTGTCTCACCCAATTTCTCAAATTGAAATAGGTTAAACGATGTTTGAACCTGATATTTACATAGAGAATAAAAATGTCTTAGCAAGTATATGTGTGATCAGATTGTTCGGAATTTATGGCGCAAATATATCACATACTTCTGATAAACTTCGTCTTCTCATTTCATTATCAAAATAGAGACTAAAGTGGTGAAGACTCGGAAGAAGTTTTTTCTTTTGAAAAATCAGTATGTTTTTGATAAAGAAACTGATTTTCAGTAATTTCATTTAAGCTGTTCCTAAACAAAACCTATAAATCTTTCTCTCTCTGTGTGTGTGACGTGGAACTTAAGATGGCATACTTCCTGATACACTGGTTGTCCTGATAGTCACGAACTGATGCTATGTCCTAGTAGTTTATTATGTCCGGCTTCAAACCATTTCGATGTTTTTTATTATTGGTTTCCACGATGTTCTTACATATTCGATATGACTAGTTCTTGATTTTCATATTGCTAACTTTTCTAGACTTTAAGGTTACGTGGTTGTCACGAGCATTTCTTTAATGGTGGCTTGGCAGAACGACGAATTCATGGACTTGGACATTTGTTAAGAGCTTCATTCGCAGCACATTCTCGTCATGCTGTTGTATCACGTGGTTGTTCATTTTCATGCAATGCAAGTGATTGTAAATCATCAGGACATCGATTTTGTTGGTCACAATTAAAAACTCATCCTGTTCATTGGTGGTGGTGGTCTTATTGTGTCCCATTTGATGTTGTACCAAAATCACAACTAAAAGATAGTAAGTGTGTTTGCATTTTTTTTAATGATAGATTTTATGTAGAACAATCATACTAGACGTTATGTAACATCGATCTCTGAGATAAGTAAACAGACGAGAAATGGATCGGTGTGGACAAATGAAGGGACTGAATTTACCTCTTCACTAATACCTAGTTAGTATCAATTCAGGTGTTGTAGAGATTGTCAAGTTTTTGATTAAGATCATGAATCGATTGATCTTAGACCACCATTGATAACCTGGAAGCACTGGACGGCCATTTCGTCTTATTGTGGGACTCCTTAGCGAGACTGAAGGCCCTGGGTTCGAATCCCGCGAGCGGGATCGTGGATGTGCACTGCTGAGGAGTCCCACAATAGGACGAAACGGCCGTCCACTGCTTCCAGGTTTTCAGTGGTGGTCTAACATAAATCGGTTCATGATCTCAATCAAAAACCTAGTTAGTCGTTTTTTCGAATTGAAGTGCAAATAAACGTTTTGATATTGAACTGTGCGTAGTGCTGAACATAGTTTTTTTATTTCTAACTTTTATTATCAAGGAATTAACTTCATCGTTTACTCAGTATTATATGTCACACCAATGGATACGATTTAAAAGCTAAAGTTGACAAGGTTGTTCAGTTTTTTATCCATACGCTTCACGTCAAATAGTAATCTAGCAAAAATAGCATGCAATGGCGAGACTGTTCAGTTGAAAATACAATCACGGAAGACTTCTAGTTGAGGGAGTTTCTTTCATTTTCACTTAAAAAGAATATGTAAGTAAAAACAACTGTAGGATTACCACTGACTTTTTTTGAGCCACGTCTGATAGTATATCACTATCTCTTGTACTCTGACCAGAGACTCTGTGCATAGATAGTTGCTGCTCCTATACAGCTTTCTTTTATACCACGACACCATTTCATAAACGGACTTCCTCTCAACTTAGAAAGACCAGTATTTGGAATTATAGAGCCAAAATTCTCTCATCGATACGTTGTAGACTCGACCTTCTACAGTGAGATCAACATCATGACGACACCAAATACAACCTAAATTGGCATGTATCTCTCTGACTTTCACCTTGTATAGATTGATCTTACCAGTCACATCACCGCTACTAGCACTCACACAACTATCTAAATATACGTACGTGTCTCGACTTAAACATCAAGAAGCTCGCTCGCTCAGTTCATTTCTTTTCAAACAACTTACTAGGCTCAAATTTTAACCTATAATAGTAGTTATCGCAATACATATTACATTACGCACGGTTCTTCTTTTTAAGAAATTTTACTATAACACTTCATTTTGTTTGTTTGAAAACATTTCAGTTCCAAACAATTGTCGTTTAAATAATCCACCGACTATATTAGACGTAGCTGAATCAGCTGTATGTGTTGCAGCAACAGAAGATGCTCGTTTCCTGTGGCGTTTATTACTTCCACCATTGGAAAATTACGCCATTGGTAATCCTGGCATATCAGCTGGTGATTCTTCTTCCCAACAACAAATAAGTCAACATAATTCAATGTCTCCTATGTCTAAAATGCATTGTTCTTCACATTCTTTATGTGCAAACAGTCAGTGTAGTACTAGTCTTCTGTGGGATGTAAGTTCAACTTTTCTAAACTTAAATTTTTTGTATCACCATAACTTTAACATCATCGTTCGTCTAGGCAATATTTTCATTTTTTTTTTATTTATTAAGTATTTAACTTATCTTTATTCAAATAATTCGTTCCACACACTCCGGGTAATATTTGGAGATGCATTTGGAAAGTGATCGCTTTGTGGGTCAAGTAAATTTATAGATATGCATTGATGGGGCGAAAGCGGAAGTTTATCCTTAACTCATCCGTGAATGATAGGCCAGCTTGAGAAGTTATTATGAAGCTTTACTAAAATGTTAAAATCAATCCATTATACCACTTAATGTAACCATCTTTGTTGTTTTTTTCTTAGGTGGATATCACATCATTGTTTATCAGTTTGTTACATTTACGTCCAGGTCTTGAAGAATTCAGTGTGCATGATTGTCAATGTACACGTTTAGCCAATGAAGCTGATGCTGATATCACATTTGAATCTGGTGCAGCTTCATTGGGTGCTCATTTATTGGCTTGTGATGAAGGAAGAATACGTCAACCAATTGGTGATAGTCATGAATCACATTTATTACGTTTATGTTATACAGCCTTATTAGTACAAACATTATTAGCATGGAATCCTAATATGAATTGTTTAAATTATCTAAAAAAGCATAAACTTATACCGGATTCGTGTACATGGAATGATGCTTATACAAAATCTGCTCATTGGAATACACCTCAGGTTAGTGAATTATTATGGTTACTAGTATTATTTCAATTTTCTCATAAATTAAATAAAATTTCATTTTACGCTAATTGTATGTGACCTGGGATATTGGCTGGATGTTTAAATCAAGGTAGGTAGCTTTTTTTAGGTGACCAAACCCCAACCCTTTGATTTAAAGTGGTAGATCGTCAAGGTAGCAGAGCGAATTCGGGTTATTCATTATCATAGTAACAAGTAACTAAAGTATGTTTATATGTCATTCATTCTCTTCAGATGTGGAATCATCGTTTATCAACTCTTCTCGTTGAATCTTTTGTCTGTACAAAGCTGGTTTAGGTGACAAAATTTTGCTCTCTTTCTCATGTTGTAGATACATCATTAAAATAAGTGAGTAGAACTTTTCTGGGTGAGGGTAAAAACGTTGCCGCTGTGTAAGGACATCTTAAGATGAAGAAAAGATTCCTGGTTTTACTAGGTAGTAGGTCCATACTTCTTACAGGTTGATATCTGAGGGGTAGTTGTAATGTACACCAGGTGAATTGAGACGATCTGACCTAAAGTAGGTCACAGTTCCATTCCTTCCTAATATCTTTTCTTATTTTCCGTTAGTGTACTTATTTCGAACCCTAACACTTGTGTTTAACTTTTCACCGCAGTTGGTAATACTTCTAATTATCTGAAAGGTAGCAAATTTCATACCAACCCACATCTTTGCCAGATCTTACACGTTATCTAAAACTAACAGACTTTGGTTTGATTTCAAGCATTTACATCGTTACTTTTTAGGAAATTTAGGGTTTTTCGATATTGTTATTTTTGATATTTTCAATGGTTAAGATCATAGGTCAGTTGGAGCTAGACCATTATAGAAAAGCTGGAAGCACTGGATGGCCGTTTCGTCTTATTGTGGGACTCATCAGCAGTGCGCATCCACGGCCTCGCCCCCTGCGAGACTTGAACCCAGGACCTACTGGTTTCGCGCGCGAGCACCTAACCACTAGACCACTGAGCTGACCGGCAACCAACGGTGTTAATGTCTAATTTCAACTAATCTACGAAATTGAGCGACACATCCACCATTGTCTTCAGTGAGTTACTAGCTCACAACAGTGCTTCCAGGTTTTCCATGGTGGTCTAGCTTCAACTGACTCATGATCCTAACCATTGAAATTACTATAATATCCACGAAACCCATCTGATATTTTTGATATTGTGTGCATTTTATTTCTAAATTTCGCAGTATTTGTTGTACAATAATATTTTTTTTATTGTTGTTTCGTTTTATCAAGTTAATCGAAGTATGGCGTTTACTACGTGATCTATCCGGTCTTTCTGCAATGAATTCATCATTTTCTAATAACGATGACAATCATGATCCACAAATAATGACTCAATCTTTAGGTTTATTTCTACGTGCTAATTGTCTACCATTTCTACGTATTGCTGCTTTTGTTATACATAAAATTACAGGGGTTGATGTACCAAGTGATTTACATCAATCAACTAGTTCATTAGAAAATACTAGTTCAGGTAGGTAGATACGTAAATGCTTTGTTGTTTTATTAACTTATCTTCTTTCATTCATTGAGGTTGTTTATTTTTCCCTTATCATTATGTTTTCTATTGATTAGTTAGTTAGTTACCATAGAAAAATTCAGTTTCACGTGACATGTAAGACTGCTGAAAAATTCTACAGAATCAGAACATGTGCCTGGAATCACTTTTATTTCGAACTCAGTATCCAACCTCTCATCCTTCCTTAGTCCTAATTCCCTTCTGTAGTATTTTATAATTTTAAACCGTAATCAGTTATGATTATTATTCAGTTTTTATTATTATGATCTTTGTGTTTTTTGTTTTTCTCCGTATCCGTCAAACGGACAATTATCTTTCATAATTCTGACCCATATACTATTTCCATCCTTTTATTCTTCTGTTACCGTCGGATTGCTGCGTAACCTTGTTTGGTAATTAGGGTCTTATATCCGTTTATAATGAAATCCTTTCTATCCTTCTACAGGCATTGGAGCATCGTGCGGACATGCAGTCCCATGGTAGCCGTTCACCAACAATTGTTTCATACGCCATTTGTTCTATCAGGATACTGGAGCTCATGTGGAGCATTGGTTTGGCATCAGGGTTTTCCAACTCCCTTAGTTGAACTCTCCCTGTCCACCAACCCAGCTAAAACATCGGACATTCGCTTTTTGTCCTCTCGATTTCGTAAACAACAGTAATGCCACGAAAATGGAGTGAGTAGAAACGCCCTAGCAGTGGATGTATACGCGTGGCCATGTGAGAGCATTTCGACAGAGAGAGTTGACTCTCTCCACTATCTGCCGTACCACGGCATTTGGGGAAGGTTTAGAAATCATAATCTGATTTGTTAAGTACTAAATTGATACATAAAACCTCTTTTGAATTTATCAGTACCTTTTGTTTTCTGTACATAAATTAACCTTGGAAAAGAAGCTTCTTCATTCTGTTAATTTCTAAAGCCAGTATTATCATTCTTTTGTCTTCATCTATAGTCCTCTTTCTCATTACAGTTAGTCTCAACTTCAATATTTTAACTTATCACGTTGCTGATCTTTCCTTTCTTTCTTTCTTTCTCTCTCTCTCTCTCTTTCACACACACACGCACAATCCTTCATCTTGATCTATTTTGATGAATATTGAAACGATTAATAATTACGTTTTCAATTTCATAAAAAGAATAATACTTTTTATCCTTTTGTTTAGTTAACTTGTATTTTACCATGTTTAGCAAGCCTATTTTTATTGTTACTAACATATATATAACAATTTTCAATTGCTTTTTTTTATTTTTGAATAACTATATTTTTCCCATTGCATAATCTAGAAAGAAATTCACCAAAAAGAGAACTTTTCTTTGAGCTTATTTTTCTTTATATTTCCGACTAGTTTCTCATTATTACTTATCGATGTAAATCTAGAAGGTATTAATATCAGTCGTAATACGATATCTGTCTTCAAATTAAGTTAGTGTCAATTCACGATTATCAAAATGTAACACACTAGAATTATTCAGTAATTATTTTCCTTTTTGATAGTAGTTTTTGGAGTAGATAGTAGAGATAATTTGAACTTAGATTTTGTTTTAGTTAGCAAACTTCAGAAAGGCTTATGTTTCTATATTCTTAGGTGAAGTGATATTCTTTATGGAATTTAAACCTGAGTCACACTTCTTCAGTTTTAGATGTTGACAGAGAGTTATTCAAACTTCCACTAAGGTCCTGTAGCATTGAGCTATTGGGTTGCGCAGACTACTACAGCTTGATCGGTCGAATTTGATTAACACTAAGAAACGCCATCAATATGTTATTAGTCATTACTTATTGATCACTCATCTATATTTACTTTTTCATTTGGTTCAATCCCTCTTTTTTCTCATTTCTTTCTTCCCAGATACTATGAAGGAACATAGTCTACTGTTAGCCT